ACACAAGTCGAATGGACCACTTTATGATACTTTTATACTGCTTTTGTACCCTTTTTGAAGTGAACGCTTCGGGCCCTATTCATTTTGAGTGTTTGTAAAAGAGCATAGGAAAAAGTCAGCAAAATGTGTTAGATGGAAGAAACAGTCAGACATTTTTGGATGAACTATCACTTTAAATCTCACTACACCCTTCTTCCATCTTTGAGTTGCTTTTAATGCTTCTCTCCTTGACCTCTATCCTCTGCTGTCCACGATAGCCAACCCCTCCCTTACTTTTTTCAATCCCCTCCAAAATTCACTCTCTTTTCCCAAAACTGTCTTGTAACACTGGTCTCCAATCAGGGCTAGGGCTGTTGTGCGGTTGTCTGGGCTCTCAGCTCAGCTTTCCACGGAGAAGAGGCTTTTCACGCTGCTGAGTGTGTTGTTGATATTCAGCGAGGCTCCATCTTGAGCACGCAGCACCGGGATTGTTTACTCGACAGGCAGGCAAGGGGAGGCGACGGGGGGACAGAGAGTGTGTCGTCCCCTCTACTCTTCAGACCTCTCTCTTCACTCTCTCACCGCCCTGAACCAATTCCACCTCAGAGTCTCGGAGACAAATTAAACATGATAAGATGTCACCACACAGGCCTAGAGAGCAGGGGAAGAGGATCACACCGAGATGTGGCCTCTGCACCATTTTTGATTTGTATGGAAATTAGGAGTCAAACTGCTCGAACAGCCAATAAAGTTGCAGTCTGGGAAATGTAACATTTAGTTAAGACACTATGGTGGCAATTACCACTGATAACATGACCAAAAAAAAACAACAACAACAACAATGCGTGCAGAAAGTAAATAAAATGTAAATGCATTTGAATGATGCTGCAACAACAGAGAATGTCTATAAGGATTTTTGAAAAAACTAATATTTGTGTTTACTATACATTTGAATCAATTCTCTCACCACTTTTAGTTTAATTTAGTTTAATTACGATCAAGGTTAAGTGGTCACATTTTATTTTAAGGTCCAATTCTCGCTATTAACAAACCATGACATTTGCCTTAATAAACCCCTAATTTGCTGCTTATTAATAGTTAGTAAGGTAGTTGTTAAGTTTAGGTATTGGGTAGGATTAGGGATGTAGAATATGGTCATGCAGAATATGTGCTTTATAAGTACTAAAGAGCCAATATGTTAATAATAGGCATGCTAATAAGCAACTATTTAATAGTAAGAATTGGTTCCTATATTAAAGTGTTACCGATTAAGTTTAACACTAAACCAAGTTCATGTAATTTCAATCAAATATTAGAAAACTTCTTATACAGCATATGTTGCTTATAATATTGCAAAATATTGATTTAACTATGAAACTACACGCAACTTTGTGATTCACAGAACAAATTGATTTATAAAGTTTAGCAAATATTAGTAAATTCAAGGTAATTTGCGACATAAGCTTGCCTACATAAGAAACACTGAGGATCTAGTTCCGTTAACACATGCAGACATGAATATCTCCAAACCACAGAAACAAAAGAAACATGCCCATCACCACACTGGGAGTGGGGCGCATCTCTCTGTGGTACTCTAGAGTCGCCGTGCGCACGTCTGGGATGCCTCGTTGTGGAAGTAGTTTGATGCGGACCCCCACAGGGCCTGAGAGGATGTGACTCCAGCCTAAATTCATCGTCTCTCACTGTCAAACCTCAAGGCAGAAAGAAAATAAAGCTCCTCCCTCCTCTACTCATCTGCCTGGGAGAATTTATGCCTCTGTAATGTGCCGTTGTTTTTGTTTTATTATTTTGGTCTTGTTTTCACTCCCTCTGGACTGCATGTGGAGGGCACACGTCACTATTTTGAAGAGATGTTGATTATTCATGTACCCCTTACTAAGAGGAATACTGCAAATGATCAGGTGAAGCAGGGCCTATTAATCTCAGTCTTAGTTTGTCCAATCATGTCACACTACTGTACTGAACATGAGATCATCAGCAATAGAATAGTGACACAGAGTTTAAACCCATGAATATGAATGTTTTTTCTTTGTACAAATCAGAATGTCTTCACTAAAGTCTACTTTTCCTTTCCTGGGAAATTAAACCAAAATACCTGTCTTACAGTGAGTACTTGCTAAAATAATATGACTTGTTTAGTGTAAAGATCTTGCGACAGAAAACGTTCATTAATCTCAGGCTTAACAGCTTTGGCCGAGAGAAGTCACATGATATATTTAAAAGCTATTCCAAGTATAACACACAATTATAGTGTTTACATAGACCTATTTAGTCTGGATTTGGACATCCTGTTGCAGTAGCGTATGACGATGTCATCTTTTAACTTTCCTTAAACTTTCTCAGGAGAACTCAAGTAGACTAATTTCCGCTGCCTACTCAAATGTACACAATATACATAAACGACAAGCAAAAACTTGCACTTAAACATCCCCCAAATGAGGAGTTATGAGGCAAAGATTTCATTGAAAATTTTAGAGTTACTTCGAGACAGGTAGCATGGCGTGGTGGCCATTTCAAATGGGCTGTTGCAGTGCAGTGGTTGCCCAAATTGCTCCCCTCTGAGATAAGATGATTAAAGTCAGTGGGACATCCGATTGTAGCGATACGAGCCAAGAACGGTGGGGTATCCTCCTCAAAATGCACAGACTCCTTTATCCAGGTCACCCCCTGTGGCCTCTCTAATGCACAATAAACTCATTACAGCCCATTAATATTTAACTATCTAATTTTTCTGCATATGTGATTTATTAGAGAATGGCAAAAATGAGCGAGACTGTGAGCCTAGGCGGAGCACAGTGGGCAAACAAAGAAAAATTAGCACGGGCCACATTGGATTTATTGAGACAAATTGGCTCTGCGTATGAGAGCAATTAGAGAAATTGCTTTCTTTTCAGAAGCATGCCACCAAAAAGCAACTCTCTATTTTTGGTATGAACACTGCAGAATTCGATAAAGCCATCTGCTGTCAGCTGAGTAGAATTCTAGAGAGCCTAGCTTCAAGGTCAGAAAGAAGCCAATCAATGTCACTTTAATGGAAGTCGGTTCATTGGCAGCTATTTTCTAAATACACTGAAGAAAAACTAAGTTTCAATAACATTTCATAACATTAATACAATCTGACAATGATTGCTTCATGAATTTACGATTTTACACAGTAGCACGTCTCCTTCTCCAATACAGTCTCTGAAGCAAATTCTGCAACAAACATTTACTGGGAAAAAAGCTGTGATTTTATAAAAGTGCAGGTGCCAAAACCAGTAGTGATATGATGCTAGAAAGAGCAAGCCATCAAACGAGTGTGTGTTGAGAAAAATAGTTTGTGCATGTTGTGTGCACTTGAGTTTTTAGTGCAAGACTGGGTAGCCTTGGGTCCAGATGGACATGTTGACATTCGAGGATGAGTGATTTTCTGGAGTGATGAAAGAGAGAGAAAGAGAGAGAGAGGAGGGAGAGGGCCAGAGTCATGTGGACAGAGCTGCACTGGCAGATGCTTCCATTCGCAATAAACAGCATCAGCAATAAACAGCTCTGTCCTTAGGGGAGACAAGTGAAATGATCTAACCCCCTGTTCAAAGCGCTTTAGCATGCTGCTTATCAAAAGCCTCCTTTATTATTTTACTGTGGCATTAAGACCAAGCTGTTAATATGAGCCAAGCTGGAGAACAATTCCACCGCATCCTGCATTCACCTGCCGCAGGGCGTAATGTGATTGGCTTGTATGGAAATAAACATAATTCTAATCAGGTGGTGGTCCTGTGTTATAAAGCCTGGTATGGAAATCTCAAGGATTCCAGTTTCCTTTGATACTGGGATCTGTTATGTTACATAAAATACATTTACGTCTGTTCGCGGTAATGCCGATATGTCCTTTTTCAAAGACATAACACTGCTGTCATTACAGATTACAGGCTTGAAACTGACAACAAGGCAATTCAAGCTCAAAAGCCTTTTTAGGGGATTTTGCTTCTGTCTTATATCTAACAGTCTGTGCAAGGATTTGAGCGAGCATTTCTGATTTCTCAAAAACCTGGTGCAAGAGCTCTCGGTATAGAAGCAGAATAGTAGGCCTCATATCTAATGCCTTCGATCACAAACGGGTTAAGTCTGATTCCATCATTATAGGTGAAAGTGTCGGGTCATTTCAGGACCCTCCATAACCCAAGGATTAAGCTGGGCAGGGGCACACAAGGAATGTTGGGGTATTGAGGAGGAGGGAGGAGCGGAAACAGTTGTTCAGAGAGTTCAGAGAGAATTTGATGGAATTTTGGCTGATAAATATGGATCATGTCCAGCCCCTTGTGGGGAAGCTGAGGTCCTGAGTCACAGCTATGTTTTTAAAAGTGAAATCTGTCGTTGCTGCATTACACAGCTGGCAGATGATCTAAAAAGACAGAAAAGTGAATGCTCACACAAGGACTGAATATGAATATGTACAAAATTACAATCCGTATATACATAAACACATTGTGGCACATTTGTTCAATATTAAATGACATTTACAGAATGGTATAAACTTACATAAAAATAAAAAATAAATATATTATCAATATCAAATGTAATTTTAAATATTTTAATTAAAATTGCAGGTCATATGGGTTTTCCAAAAAAATCTATTTTTTTGCAGTTTGTAACGTAGCTATCCATCAATGTAAACAGTCTGCACGGTTGTTAATCAAAAAAGTGCATGATAAATAAAGATATTGTCTCTCAAAAGAAAGAGTCGACTCTGAACCGCCTTAATGAGTTGTTGTATTTTTGAATCTTCTGCCTGTTACCTATATACGTAACAAGGTAACACATTTGCATAATCCCCGCATGCCCACAAAATACGAACACTCTGACCTGCCCACAAACACTTCGAGAAGACCTGTGTTTTCATCCTCACTGGGCATTCTAACACAGTTCCCACACCTGGACCTCAAATAAGTAAATAATAATAATGAATGCAATAAAACTGCTGTCACATCACATAAAGTACCACATACAAAGTTTAAACATACCACTGAGAAACGTCCTGATCAAGTCGTGCTTGCGATGGAGTTTCCGGTAGAGCGACTGCATCGGTATCATCCTCGGACTCGAGCTTGAATTGATAAGGTAATATCGATGCCATTTTTGTAACCTTATAGCATCTTTGTTTACAAGTAACCCTCCGGAGCAAAAAAAAAAAGTATGGTAATGGGCATTTCTTTTCTGACACGCATTGTATACCGAAAGACCAATTACAACAGACTTGGCCAGCTGACCAATCAGAGCAGAGTAGGCTAATGGAAGAGAGGGATTTACAGACATTACGCTCAGAACTGCTTCGAACGAATCATTTCGAAATCATTGAAAAATAATTCTAATATTAAATGTATATTCTGATAAAATTACAATGTTTTCTGACCTTAGATACATTTAAACCTGTTGTAGGGGACTCCAACACAATATTAGGACACTTTAAAATATCATATGACCTGCTCTTTAATAATAAAATAATAATATAAAATATTCCTAATTAAACTAAAAAAAAAAAAAATAATAATAAATAATAATAAGCACAATTAAGCCTAAAGTAAATCATATTATGAAGGATTTTCCTACCATCATAATTAAACCTTAAAGTACCACTTCTGTGCTTTTGCAAGTACAACTCCATCTGCTCAAAAAAACATTCACACTCAAAAACATTGACCTAAAATTATTTATTTGAACATGGCAAGATGCTGAAAAACTGCATGACCCACTGAAATGGTCTAAGATAGACCAACAAATTAAAAAATAGCACAGACAAAGTTCAAAAATGCAACCTATGCGAACAGTCCTCAAGTCTTTAAAACAGATTTACAAATTTGATTGCAAAATGAATTAAATCAATATACTTTCGTCTAAATAAACTTGTAAAGTCTACTCAGTGCTTTATACATCTACCACACTATCATGCTGTCTTAAATTATTTTACTTAAGGGCTAACAAATATTGATTATGCAATTAACCATAATTAATTGGATTATTTCGCATATAATGCACAAAATGGGAACAAAATGTTTCGTCACTTGACAGCTCTCATTCTTGCATTTGCTGTACTATGACACAGGGCACTGCTTTAATCTCTACCACTGATTCTGTGAGAGGTATATGGAACTCCACAACTTGACCCTCACTTGCTTTTTCTCTCTCTTTCTCTCTCATCATAGGCTCGCTGCTCATTAAGAGACAAAAAAATTATGGTAGTCCTCCTTTTAGAGGTCAAGTGCTGCCCTGGGCTCCTCCTTCTCCATGAATTACTTCAGCATTGACACCAATTATTAAAATACATCTTCATTAGATCTCGCTTCAGAGCCCCATCTGTGGAGCAGCCAGGAGCCATCTTCACCACCCCATCGCACTTAATTTACCAAGATCAAACTCATCTATTGCCTGAGCCACTCAAAGCACCAACACGAGCGGGCTGAGCAGTGCCTCCCCAAAAAGCTTCTTCAATTCGGGTTACTGCTAGTCTATGTATGCGAGAGCAAAGAAAAAAAAGCTACCATACGACTTCATCCAACATCTATTTGCACTTCAAACCGATGCCAAAAACACAGCTTTCCTCACAAAGCAGGAAAAGGGAGGAGTGCTTGCTATCACAGAGAATATCAGTGAAGTGTTCAAGTGCTGCTGTGAGTTCACATTTCGTTAAGAATTCATATGATGCACCATTTAAAGAAAACGGTGGTGCTGATGTGGTTTATATTTCAAAAGCAACAAGCAATGCATGTCATCACCGTGCCGAAGAGTCAGACTTCTATTTTCTTGAGAATGGATGTCAGCGGTGAAGAAAACCTATTAGGGCAAGAGGAGGAGCAAGTTTTGCCAGCATCCACCTTATTTCAGTGGCACATAAAAGCGGAGGCGTTGAATTGCTTTTCAAATGCAGTAGGCCATGCCACACACTCAATCCACCAGTGTATCCGATTTGATCCCCCAAGCAGAAACACAAGCAGAACCATTGATTGATACCACCAAGCGAAGGGAGTCTGGGGGAAATAGGGAATAAGAGTGTGAGAGAGAGGGGGTGGAAAGGCCAAGCAACTGTAGCTACAAGTAAAACAGCATTACAATAAAATTGGAATCTGACAAAGAAGAGGATTTAAATGAGGTCTAAACTGCATTTCTGAAAAAGATCACGCTGCTTCTAAAGCATGTATTGACAAAAGGTAACTGTCGACAATCATGCTAATCTCCAAGACTACAATTTGGGATGAAAGGGCACAGAACACTAGGGTTTTTTTCTCAAAAGGTCAAGTCCAATAAAAACTATTATTCCATTTCACTTTAAATCCTGTGAGCATTTAGATGTCTGATTTCCTGAAGATAAGCTCAAAAAGTGGTCTGCCTTTGACTTAGCTTTACTGGATTCACAATGTTATCAATAATTAAACCAGTCTGACAGAGGAGTTCTAGATGGAGTTTTAGATACAACTTGCATAGCTTCCAAAACTTGCCAACTTACCAAATATTTGAATTAGAACATTTGAAGCAGGTTTCAAAATAAAGCAAACACAGACTTAGAAATGTTACAATTATTGTGTACAAAAATGTCTTGCAGAACCATGATTCATTGCAACTACAGGACATTGATAAAAAATATGCCATTATTTATATACCGCTCAAATAAATAAATACATAAATAAATAAATGCTGAGGTGAAATTTCATCATTTTATTACGAAATGAAGACTGCTTAAACTTGCATTCTGTCTGCAGTTTGGCCCTATTCCCCAGAAGCTCAAAAAGACTACTTTTTAATACAGTAGGAGTCTGGAGGTCTTGAAAGACATAGATCTAAAATCCCTGTTGATCACTAAATCCTTGTTTTGCTAAAAGCTATTTAACACCAGGGCCTTTGAGTGGTGGGGGAGAAAGAGATTCTGCGGTGTAGCAGAAAAAGAGGAATGTGAAATGGAGCAGCTATCTATACCAAAACTCAAACACCAGTAAGACTTACACTCTGGGGGAAAACTAGATAACAGAGGCCTGTTTTGTATACTTTGCAGAGGGCAAGAACACATTTACACCTCCTTGACCCATTGTTCATTACTTTGTGTTCAGTCGCCAGATAAACGCTTTAGTTATAAGCGAGTTGTCGAGAGCGCTTTTCCCTGGCCCTTCCAAGCAGACCACACTCACCACTACATAAAGCAGCAGTTGTGCAGACAAATGAAGCAAAGCTTAACCAATGACTGCTCTGCCAGCTCTGCTATGAGGATTTATAGCGTGAGGCAAAACTGAGCATCTGCGAGGCTTTATAAAGTAATTAATCCCTGGAGACAGGGTGAAGACACCACCTACCACCTGCTCCTCCTCCTCCAACTGGTGCCATGAAAGTATATTTTAGAGATGCAGTCTTAGCAGTACACTAAGACTAACTCATCAGATGTCAGACAGTTCAAATTCAGTACGATTACCAATGGTATAAGATCACTCTCTCTTCCCTTCCACTCTCTTTCAGCGATGAGGTTTACCATCGGTTAATAATCTTTTAATTAAAAGTGGTACGTGGAAGTAAGGTTCTACTCGTTGGGTGAAAGTTCCCAGAATGGGTCCAATTCACATCTTGCTCACTTCAAAGCTTGAGCCACAGAATCCTAGCTTCATCTTAAAAGAACTGCTATAACTATCAAACACAGAAAAGCATATTTCATTCATGAAGACGTTCAGTTAGGGTTCAGAAACAGACCTGGGGAGAGTCGAGTCTGTGGGTACGCTTCAGGCATAATTGATAGGAACTGAGCCAAAGATGGGTCCCTGAGGAACTCCTCAACTCTTACTTATAAAACCTACACCTGTGCAGATGTAATTCTGCATTTGAAAATGTAATTCAAACTACAGAAACAATACAAAGTGTAGACTACTTAAAAACTTAAACAAAATTATATCTAAAAAAAGTGCTTGGCTTCACAGGAACAGGCTGTGTTTTTGTCAGTGTCTCAGAAGAGGAAGTACAAACCTCAGTAGTAATCAGCAATGGTTATATTCATCGCCATAGTCATATAGGCACTTCTGCACATCTTAAACCACCACATTATGCTTAAAGTGTTGCTGGATGTAGTTTAACAGGCCAATATAATGTCGATACTGAAGAATAAGAGGAGTTATCTGGAGCTTTGCCAGTGGGCTAACGCTTGCAAACTCCACAGACTGCAGTCAATCTGCTCTCAGATCAGTTCACTTCAATGACTGATCATCTGACCACCGCTGCACACATGAGCAGACTCTTCAATTGTGCTCAATGTCTGACAGGCCCTCTGCAATGCCCCTTTATGAAACAGGCATTTAAATCTACTGAGGCCACTCACTGTCAAAGGTTCAACTTACTGCCTTGCCGAAGGAAACCTCCACTTTATCCTTCTCCAGCAGTGTGAATAAACAAGGGAAGCAAACGGAGAAACAAACTGGCCAAAACAAGAGTGCAACTCTCTGTACTCTAACTTTCTCGCTCGTTCTTTCTTCCTCACTGTTTCTCAGGGGGCATCCAGTGAAGCGGAAAGGCAGCCAAGCTAACCAAGTATGTCTGTCCTATGCTCCTATCGAAACCCACAGCCGCTTAAAGAACGGTTCCCGTGAAGGAAGAGGGATGCTTTGTAAACTGACACTGTGCTGACATGTAAAGTACGCTTCCAACTCTGCAGCTCTGCTAATTGGCACAGAGCTAAACGCTTACTTAATCTGATTGTAGAGACTACATAAAAAAGGAGAAGTAGGGTGGAAACTGAGACAGTTTTATAAAGATAATTAACATTTCACAGAGAAGATTGGTTTCCGAATGTTTGGACAGATAAAAGCAGGTATCAGGGTAGCTGAAACGACGTGGGCCTATGTGATTAGTGGGAGAGGCAAAGCTGGTTGTCCTTACCTCTGGATTTAGAAGAGAAGGACAGTGAAAGCTGGCTGAACATGTCCAGGTTCTCAAACCGCTCTTCTTTGACTTTGAGCCAAAAGCAATTTTCCGCCATCTCCTGAGGCACTATCTGCAAGCACAGAAAAACTCCATCAAACACCAGCAGGAATAGAGCAAGCAAGCACCAGTGCACACTTAAACACACACACACACACACACATAAAGCACGCATACCTGATGCATACATTACTCCAGTTTTCAGTGACACAATCCTTCAGAAATCATTCTAATATGCTGATATGGTGGTCAAGAAACGCTTAATATTAATGCTAAAAAGAGTTGGGCTGCTTAAGAATTTTGAGGACACATTATACATTTTATTCAGAATTCTTTGATGAATAGAAAGTTTTTAAAAAATGCAAGCATTTGTTTAAAAGTTTTTTAAGTCTTTAAAGTCCTCATGAAATCAAAATTTACACTATTTGCTTTGTTAGAGCACATTGCAAGCATTGAGGTGAACAATTAAACCAAGTTAATCCACTGGGAAAAAAATGGTGTATCTTTGTAATATTCAATCAAAATCTGAAAATGTGCTTCTGCTCTGGAATGTAATTTCCCACATTATATCAGATAATGTAATTATACAGGAATTCCTCACAATTGATCAGTCACTAATTACCCAGACAACCCATCAACTATACTGTGAAAATATGTTGTTTTTATTCTGGAAAATATGTGCACATCCCTTGTGTGTGTGTGTGTGTGTGTGTGTGTGTGTTTATGTGTGGGGTTAGAATCAGGATCAAAGTGATGTAAACTAGCGGAGAGAGGTGGCAGTTTAAACAATGTAATTTCTCCCTTTAGTTTTACGTATAGTAACCTCCTCCTCCTCATCATCTCTGCCTCATTCTCTCCTTTTCATTACGACACTAGCATAAGGGAATTCAACTGTGCTACTTGTCACAGTCACAGCCAACATGTGTGCATGCAATAAATTAGGTGTCTGCACGCTTAGAATTTAAAACTTAAGAATTTAAAGCTATTGTTTTATTTTGCTGAGAGAAAATTAAAGAACTCTCCATACATATAAAACAGTCTCCAGTTTACTGTGCTAACATCTTAAGTAAAGTGTCTCCAAAGCACAGTAGAACAGGACCACGGAAAGACCTTTGTAGTGTAAAACTACACAATTTTAAAATCAACTAGTCAGTGAGTTGTATGAAGACAAATTCTTGCTTTCAAAAACAGATAGACAGACAGATAGACAGACAGACAGACAGACAGACAGACAGACAGATAGACAGATAGACAGATAGACAGATAGATAGATAGATAGATAGATAGATAGATAGATAGATAGATAGATAGATAGATAGATAGATAGATAGATAGATAGATAGATAGATAGATAGATAGATAGATAGATAGATAGATAGATAGATAGATAGATAGATAGATAGATAGATAGATAGATAGATAGATAGATAGATAGATAGATAGATAGATAGATAGATAGATAGATTTCACCACCTGTCATCCTCTTAACAGCAGTATCAAACCTGTAATGTAGCAATCAGAAACTATCATGCTAAGTTTTTTTTCTTTATTCTTTTGCTCTGCAATCAACACATCACCATTCAAACCCAAAAGAAAAGAAAATGAAAGGTTACGTTTGGCATGAAATGACACCTGAGAAGACATTTGTTTCTTAATCTCAGCAAACACTGTTGTTGTAATTTGTATAATTGCAGCCCAACAACTAGAAAAATATATCCAACAGCATATACATATCACTATTTCCAAGAACTCTGTGGGGTATAATTAGAATCTGGATACAATAGACTGGGAAACTGTCGGCATCACTAGGAGTTACTAGATTTACAGATAAAAACAGTTTGCATTCTCTTTCATTATAGATGAGATATGGTCATTTCCTCATCCTCAATAATAATTTAAAGAAAATTATACAGCTCAGGATGCGTCATGTCATAACAGGAATAGAAAACAAGAAGCCTAAAAATGCATTAAAATGTAATTTAATTAATTGGTCAAGCTTTGCTTTGCTTTAATTTAATTTGAATTAACTGCAATATATAATTATATAATAGGCAATATATAATTATTTCTTCATAATGTTTAGTAAGTTTTTAGGATTATGTATATGCATGTCTAACATGGGTAATGGCAATGGTAGTCATTCAACTACGTTTCATTTAGTTTGCACTAGGGCTGCACAATTAATTTAATTTCTAATCGCGATTACAATTATGGATGCCACAATTACGTAATCGTTCAAAGCAGCAATTAATCGTTCAAAGTCCACTTATCTTATTCTGTGTGCTTAAGATTAGGCTTGCTGCGATAGACGGTGTTTTCGGTTATACCGGTGTTAAGCCACAACACCGGTTACGTCATTTGCCTACCGCGGCACCGCCCCCCACTATGGGATGAAATTAGACTCAAAATTATTAATAGATGCACGCACAATTATCCATGTACTGCATACATTTTATACATGTATCTTACTAACCACCAACAAATGCCTTTCAATTTGAGTCTGTGGAATTCAGGATTAAATGATTGTGAAGCGATTTGTACAAATACAGACATGTAAGAAAAATGTTCTGTTCTGCATTAATATATCATAAATTGCTAATGCAAAAAAGGATTCCGTGCATAAGTGGATCAGGTGACACGCGTGCATTAATTGACGTCTAGTTCGAGTCGATCTTGCTCGGTTCATTTGGATTTTGAGACTTCATTTTCGCAGTTTACAGCATTTCACGTCCCCCACACACACAACTACCAACGAACAAGGCCCAGTGCAATTCATTAACGTGTACACGTGCAAATGTATAACTGACAACGTGCCATTGAATAACAGAAAGAAAGAAAAAAACTAGGTATCGTCACAAAGTTCTTGTTTGGCAAAATGTATATAAGCTAGTCTGTGTCTTAAGACAAGGTAAGTTAGAACAAGATCAATAAAACATCTTTATTATATTTCTACGGTAGAGGAGAATAGCCAAACCAAAAAGAAACAAAGAAAACACAATGTAACATTCATGAAACCGTACTCAATGGAATGTGCACATGTGACTGGGGCTAGTGCCATCTAGTGGTCGCTGATTTTCTTAAGCTCAGTTGCGCGTGGATCGCGAGCTGTGTGTGTGTGGATTGGGCAAGGTTAAAAGGGCAAAACGAAAGTCTCAAAATTCAAATGAATCAAATAGAATCGACTCAGAAGAGACGTGAATTAATGCACGCGTGTCGCCTGATCCACAAATGCACATTTTAATCGCTACATGCTCAAATTATGATACTTTAATACAAACTATAACATTTGTATTAACAAATATGTCTCTATTTGAACAAAATGTTGCACATCTTAACTCTGCAGACACCAGTTGAAAAGCATTTGTTTCAGTGCAGTGATGCACATTTGCGAATTTTTCAAATCATGTACACGTAAATGAATTGCACTGGGCCTTGTTCGTTAGTAGTTGTGTGTGGGGGGGACGTGAAATGCTGTAAACTGCGAAAATGTCAATTAATTAACGTCAATTAATGCACGCGTGTCACCTGATCCACATATGCACAGAATCCTTTTTGCATGAGCAATTTATGATATATTAATGCAGAACAGAACATTTTTATTCACAAACATGTCTGTATTTGTACAAATCGCTGCACAATCATTTAATCCTGAATTCCACAGACTCAAATTGAAAGGTATTTGTTTGTGGTTAGTAAGATACATGTATAAAATGTATGCAGTACATGGATAATTGTGCGTGCATCTATTAATCATTTGAGCCTTTTGACTGGAAGTTTTTTTTAAACATTTGTTTCTTATTTATTTGGTTCCACAGTGTTTGCTGATTACTTTATTTAAACTGTGTGTATTTTATTTATTTTATTTACATCAAGGTGTACATGCCGTGCCTCCAAGCTTTCTTATTCGATTTGCAAATAAACATTCTATTTTTCTTATTTATTTGGTTCCACAGTGTTTGCTGATTACTTTATTTAAACTGTGTGTATTTTATTTATTTTATTTACATCAAGGTGTACATGCCGTGCCTCCAAGCTTTCTTATTCGATTTGCAAATAAACATTCTATTTTTCTTATTTATTTGGTTCCACAGTGTTTGCTGATTACTTTATTTAAACTGTGTGTATTTTATTTATTTTATTTACATCAAGGTGTACATGCCGTGCCTCCAAGCTTTCTTATTCGATTTGCAAATAAACATTCTATTTTTCTTATTTATTTGGTTCCACAGTGTTTGCTGATTTGCAGTTTTATATACCTATTTAAAGTTTGTGTAGCCTAAGTAATTAGTTATTTTATTAGCCATATATGGTGTATTTTTATTCGTTTTGTTAATAAAAGTTCTGAGTTTGAGGTTGTTGTTGCTTGAATTGAATTAACGCCGAATTGCCGCTAATTTGAAAGTGTAAGTAAAATGTGCACGGCACATTTACAAGCCATTTGAAAGCGAAGAAAAGAGGGAAACTCAAACGAACTAACCTGCTCCCCTCCCCAACAGTGATACCAGTATTACCGGTGTTGTCACACGTCGATTAACCGGTGGGAAAATGTCCTCACTGTCACAACCCTACTTAAGATGCTTTTTTTTCCCCTACATGTTATCTTAAGGGTTTTTCCATTGTTTTCATTTTAGTTTTAGTATAACACTATAATACCATTCATATTTTAACTTTTTTTATAATTTAAAGAAGAAGCCAATCCAATGTATAGTTTATATTTGAGGCTTAATATAGAAAAGCACAAAGTTTTTCAGTTAGAGTGTTTTCAGCTTGTTTATTTTCATATAAAAATACGGCATGCAGTTGAATCAAACAATGTTATAAACATCATTAATTTAAATTGTGATAATCGTAATTAATCATCGCAATTACAATTTCAAGGGAATAATCGACAATTATGATTTTTGTCATAATCGTGCAGCCCTACTCTGCCCCATATTCTCGATGATGATCCACATTACTGAACCGTATCAGATCGCATTTACAATCTCACTAAGTCCAAGTGGAACAGTGAAAATACAGAGAAACTGACAAAGTGAGAAACGAACAGTCTCATTAGTGCGCTGCCTCATAAGGGCACTTGTGAAAAAAAAATGTGACTCCTCCAAACAGAGTAATTAACACAAGGCTCAGCCAGGGTGACCTTGTTCACACTCAAGCAGCAGAGAGAAATACTGTAGCTTCCTCTCGACTTGAGCAGCTACACCCATCTTTTGGCAGAAAGTGAGCAGCTCCAAACGGTCTTAGCCAGAGATGCGAGCAATCATTTACTTTTCCATAAAGTAGTGTGGCTCCCCTGTGTGGCTGTTCTAACGGTTGGAGAAATTACATTACAGCACCTCCAGGCAACAATCTCCGATCTGGCTATTTGAAAGTCCATTACATGCTTTAGGGAAAGATCAGGAGGAGCACAGGGGCTGGAGTGTTTCCCGACTTTACTGCTGCCGGCTACATTCACTGTCTGACTGTTATCTTCCTCTGTTGTGAGAGATGGAGGGGTCTCCGGTGGGTGATTTAAAATAGCAAGAATCAAACTGATTAGTTGGAGTAGTTAGACACCATCGCCAATCACGTCACATCAGCATTATGCATTAACACACATGACATCACCTTGTCCATGTCTGTTTGAGAGTATGAAAGACAGAGCAAATGTATGTCAATAAATAAGGTGCAAATATTTAAATCTTCATTATTTTACTATATTTAATATCTTATCAGCTCAGGTTCGATATTATTTGTTAAATATAACAAAAAGTTGTGTGTCTGATTGGTCCAAATGCTACATCAGCCATTTTGCAACTGCTTCAAACCTGGCTTACAAATATACTTATAAAAATATACTGCTTATTTTAAACAATGTATTCATTCAGGGGGGGTCTACAAAAATAGAACTATCTGCAGCACGACCATAATCAAATGTGATAAATAATGTTTCTTGAGCAGGATCACGTGACACTGAAAACTGAAGTAAAGCCTGCTGAAAATTCAGCTTTGCCATTTTTGGAATAAATTATATTTTAACATATATTAAAATAGACAACAGTTATTTTAGATTGTAATAATTTAAAATGTTTTGATCAAATAAACGCATATTTGGTAACCACAAACACTTATTTTGGCATACAAAAAATGTAATACAATCTGGAAATATATACAGTACAATATTACTGACTGTAATTTGCTCACTCTCCATACCACACAAAGTCGACTTGCTTTTTAACATAATATAATATATACTACAAAAATAAGGAGTGTTGCCCTTGGGGCTAAATGGATCCTTCTTTGTGGCTCTTGAACATTGAGTAGCCCTGATTTATACCATTTCTGATTGCTAATTTTTTTCTCCATTGGATTCAGCATGTTGTGGAGGAGTGTATCTTCTTTGCACTGACACATAAAGAAGTTAAAGACAAGGTCGAGCAGAAGCATGAAAAAGTACAAATAAATTAATCCAGTTTTCAGACTGTTAAAAAGTCCCCAGGGCGATGGGTAAATGAATGATTGAGAGTTAAAAGGAAAAAGAGTTAACCCATAGAAATTGCAATGGAAGATTACGCAACATTGTTTTATATATCTGTGTTTTGTTTAATTTTAACTAAAACATTTATTAAATTACGGCCAGAATGCGTGTGCAAGGGCACTTGAGCTAATGAAATAGTTTATTTTTATAGCTATTTTTAATAAGCTGCATGTACTCGTAGGCTTTGGACCATCAACTCCCACTAAAAAAGTCACACTCTCTTTTTCATCCTTTCTTCTTGTCTTCCTCTTAGACACTGAGAAAGCTAAATTACTCCCACTATTTGCAATTTACTGCTGACCTTGGAGTGTGTTATGCTGATCGCAGATGGTTTTTAAGCCATTTAAGCTCCAGTGACATTCACCGTCTTACCTTAGACCAATTCACCCGCTTCATGACGCTCTCAGGTTTGTAGGTCTTCTTGGGCACCAGCCCGTAAGGCAGCTGGACAACGAGCGGCGGAGGAGCCAAAGGCATACCCGGTGGTGGGGGAGGGCCTCCTCCAGGAGGTGGAGGTGGTGGTGGTGGAGGTCCGCAGCCAGGTGGAGGTGGAGGAGGTGGGGGTCCTAGAGATGCAGGACAAGGAGGAGGTGGTGGTATACCTCCACTTGGTGGTGGTGGTGGAGGAGGTGGAGGTGCAATTCCCCCTGGTGGTGGCGGTGCTGGAGGAACAGCACCGGCTGCTCCAGGTCCTGCTGCAACCTGTGAAGGGATTAAAAAGAGTGAGAGTCAAGAAAAGGCCATTTTAAGAGACCACTGCGAGCCAAACATTCACCTCAACCACTCCTGTTCAGCCTCTACACCCAAAGGCCCATGCTTTTATCACCATTACATGTTTTATCCCATCAGAACTAGCGGGTGAGACAAGGGCAAAGGAGAGTGGAGGATAAAAGACAGTGCTTACAGCAGCTGACTTTTCAATTATAGGAGAGTGCATTAAAAACAAGTCTAAAAATCAGAGAAAGTGAGAGAGGGGGGGAGAGATAGGGGTGAAGGGGCTCCTCGCATGCATTAAATAAGAGTTGATAAAAGCAGATGGATGACTTGGGGCTGCTGTGGCCTTCCCTCCGGGCACCGTTCCCTCAGCAACACTGAGCATCTGCCTGTCTAGTGCGCAGAGCACCGCCTCTTGAGAGCCAAGTAGGGGCCAGCGCACAGAGGAGCCAGAGCCCACCGCCTGATCCTCTCACTGGGGAAACTGGGACACGGCAATTCCTGAGGGGCAGGTAGTCACATTGAATATGTAAATAAATAAACGGCAGGTCGTCGATGTGACTGGTAGACTCTTCTGGAATGTACACACCTGTCAAGTGTTTGGGCTCTCAGAGGAGCAATTTGACAAGTGTTGCACGAGTGGTAAAGTGAATGTGTGTGTGTGAGTCTACGTGTGTATGTGATTCAATGGTTATCTGGGTGGAGACTGGAGGGTTTTTTTCATTCAGTGTATTTCATTCAGAACAGAGTCCAAAAGTAACACTCGCCTGGTGCCAAAGCGCACGTACAAACTGGATTTGGTGAGCAATTAAAATGTGAGAAGCTGTACGAAGTAAAAAGGGATGAAAAAAAACATATACTAAAGAATACATGCCTCAAATTAACATTTTGACAAAAACTTTTAATTATCAATTATATATCAATTATTTAATGTCTTTAAAAATTGTCTTTATTTAATTTTGTCTGCAACTCCATGTGCCAATATAAATGTGGAAAATAAAGCAAATATGAGGAAAAGTGAGCTCGATCAATCAATCAGTCAATCGCTTTTTTCTTAATAATGTTTATTATTATTATTATTTATATTTAAATTATTATATAACAATTACAGGGTCAGGGGGCTGCCTTGAAAAAAAAAAATTCTGAAAGTAATTTTCAGATGCAACGGGGGAAAAAAAGGCATAAACACAAACATGAAACTTGTAAATAAAATAATCTGATATATATAGCCTATGTACAATTTAATAACATATAGTCTAGTTTGATATATGAATTGGGTGTTCGTCAAAGATTGCATGCGGTCGGAGATTCCCATGTTTACAGCTCCGTAGTTTTGCTGTATAGGCCTATAGATAAAAATATTAAAATTACAAACACACAATAACATTTTAAGTTACTTCCATTTCTGAAAAAAAGAATGTAGGCCTAGTAATTGATGTTTTAAATACACAGGCCGGATTTTTGTTTTAATTATCCATCATACATAAAAAAAAAAAAATAAAAAAAACTTTTGCAATCAAGACTGAAAAAAGCCAGAAGTGAATGTAATCCAGATTTGGCCCAGACTCTGTTGCTATCTGTGAAGCCAAGCATAAGAATAGCCTACTAATGTAAATTTGTTAACCCACAGTAACAAATTTTAACAGATTAATCGCATATTTTCATTTGCTGCATGCTTTTAAAAACACAATAAAAAAAAAAACCTTTTTTTTGGAGGAAAATAAAAAAAGATGCGTCTCGTATAAATTGCATTTTCAGAAATAATAACGGCAGGCCTAATAATGTTATAATGTACCAACATTATGAACACTATAGGATATTTTAGTTCCCCTCACTTTACAACAAATCCTTTAAATCTAACCGTATCAGAACAGAATAAGAATTTAAAAATATATAATTCTAATGGATAAATATAATTGCAGTATATAATAATATATGCTTAGTAATAAACATGCCAAAACAAATTAATTTATAAAGAAACGTAAGGTAAAATTGGGCTTACCTCTCTCAGGCACAAATCCAAATGTGTCCATATTCGCGATGTAGCTGAAGCTAAACTATTAGCCTTATTAGGTAAAATAGGCTTTGTAGTTCACGCGCGTTCCAGTATCGATGGAAAAATATCATAATGAGTAAAAATATGCCACAGTGGACCGGGTCTCATGCCGAATGGCACGGTGAACGGCTGAGCTGTTTCCAATTAATGCAGTAGCTTAGTGTGCGCGTGAGGCGGCGGCGCGATCAAACAGCTGAAACATAAAATAGACTACTCCGTAATTTTTGGTCATACAGTAAAGGCATAATTCAAAAGTGCAAAGTGTTAGCAGTTTGAAAATTCAAGAATAATAGCAAAGTTAATAAGAATTCTTTCTAAATGCAGCACCATCCGCATAACCTGAACCTGAATTTTTTATTTTATTTTTTGCTAAGAACGAACCGAAATGAAAACATTTAGCTTTTAATCGGTGTATTTAACAGCCTGGGAGACCTTCCCAGGGCAGTACCTTGCCTCACCGACTAAAATCAGGGCACCCACTACAGAGACACCACCAGAGGTGAGGGGGCACAGTGACCGAGGTGGCCGGGCCGGGTCCCCTCAGGCCCCCCCATGGCGCCGACGCTGCACTATTACATAACTATGGAACAACATAAAATAATCCACAATTTGCATTAGGTCGGGCAAGAGTTAATTGTGGACCCTATTGCAGGAAATGAACAGTACACAAAAAACAAAATACTGAGATAAGGAAGATGAGATGAAGCTTAACTCTGGGTAGTATCAGGAATTATAGAGCAGCATATAACCCATTTCTATGGGCCTCGTAGGATTCCAGTAAGCTTGACTCACATTTTCAGATTAGCAGCAGAGAATAAAAAAGCGACTGACACTGAAGGCATAACTCAAAAGAAACAAACATGGTGAAGTTTATGATGATCATCTGCTTTTGTTTTTAAGACGTAATGACATAAGCGTTCATTCGTTCCGTATGGAACATACTTAACTGTGATTACACCGAATGACAAGATGACACTATCGATATTTGTTTGCGGATGAAATATGGAAAGTGCTTTGTGTAGACTGATTCATCACGTTTAATCATAAAGCATAACAGATGAGAGTAGCCCATTAGACTTGATTAACATGTAAATTGCCTCTGTAATTTCCTAATAGATTGAGCGTATGAATAGGATGCAGCCACCTGAACCTTTAGCAGTAATGAGAAGAGTAATCGGGCTTGAACGCTCATGCAACTGGTGGCGGCAGGCAGTCGACCTCTCTGCTCCATCCTCTAGATCCTTAACCTTGAGCCACAATCCACAGGGTTTTTAGCCAAATACATGTTTCTTTTTCTTTATTGGGCCATTTTTTTCTTCCCTGACTTTCCTAGTAACTGCAGATAACTGAAGCTCACAAGATGGTCTCCAGGAAGAGAAGCCATTATGGATGAGTCAGGGCTCAATTAATCCAGTAACTGATAAGACTGAGGGCGGTAATGTCCTGACAAATCAATCTTGCTTTGCTTGCAACAGAATAAACAGGTATTTTGAATCATTGATAAAGGGTGGCCAAGTCTCTTTAGCAACAAATTATATGCAAATGCTTCAATTGGAACTTCCAATAGTCCAGATATGACTTGACCTTTGGATGATTACAAACCATTTGTCTCCCCCCCCCCTCCCCTCCTTTTCAAAAGTTACTCTGTGCCTCATTCTCATCACTGCTTAGTGAAAAAAATATATATTTTTATTTTTTTCTAAAGCAATTCCCCTCTCTGCACTCCAGCCTCAGTTCAGTTGATTAGGACAATGATATGCGTCGAGCCACATTTTTATATGCATTACCGAGTGTGATTACACAATGCAGGCAGTGGATTGCTTATTAGAGGGGAAATTAAAAAGGTGTAGGAGCATCATGCAGAAAGCTGAGGTCCCTTGACGAGTACCCTGTCCCATGATTATGCGTCTGTCAATCTCCAGCCAGTTGTGACCCATTTTCTCTTTTAAGTTTAATACAAGAGAATGGCAAGCAAATTAGCTGCTAAATTAGAGCACCATCATTTCCGCATTGCTTTGGCCCTCTGTGGCAGTGCGCGACTTGCTGCTGACCCTCCAGCCACGGTTCTGGAATGCTAATCAGCCTCCAGCACACAATTTTCTCTAGACATATCCCTTATTCTCTTTAAACAATATCCATAATTTAGACCAATTTTACAACCAAAACCCATTTTGCACAGGACAATGTTTCATTTAAGGCTCCTTTCCCCTCTGTTTTCATTCTGGCTTCTTATCTTGCTTTAAAAAGCCATTTACGACCAGAAAGTCTGGTTTGATAAAGGTCTAAGATGGCCACTGACCTGAATTTTGTAGCCGTCTCCCATACCATTCAGCTGAACTAATTAGCAGTCAGCATGTCTAAAACTATCTGTTATAAATGGACAGGACAATATCAATAAGACAAGCATCCATTTACACTCTCAACAGGTGGGAGGGCACTCTTGATAGAAACAGCCACAGTTTGGGTAATTAACTAGGGCTAACACACAATTAAACCATCCCGATCTCATCTCTGATGAGCAAGAGGCAATTTCAATTAGATTCAGTTACTACTGAGGGTTACAATACTCTAGTTAAATGAAAAGATGGGGTTTCATTTTCCCTTCCAGCTGGAACTGGCACTGGGAGCCTGTTCCATCATGCTCCTGTAGCTCACGCGGAAGCGAACAATGCTAGCAACCCAAACGTAAGGGTTCACTTCCCAGGGAACAGACAAACTGCTTGCTTCATTTACTTTCTAGCTTCTAAGAACTGGAAGTATTCACAGTATAGAGATTGTGTTTGGTAAGATTCACCATTACAAGCTGTTTATATGCTGGATATGTGGTAAGGATTATGGCCTAATTCTGTAGCATGCATTTGTAATGAATGATTGCACAGCATCTGTTGAGAGTCTGGAGACAATACAGAAAATCAAGACTCTGGATGATCAGTGAGAGGTAACAGCTTTGATCAACCTGTTAGAAGGTATAAAAAAATGCTGATTTTCAAAGATGCTGGGCGGCTGCATTGAGCATGCTGGGAAGGCGGAGGGAAGGGTTGGGAAAACACCCACCTTGCTGTTTCTTTCGCTGATGGTTTTCTCTGCCTCTCTTAGCTTGTCTCTCTCACTAATCAACTGGACAGGTGAGGGACAGACAGACAGACACATAGAGAAACAGAGCAATGGTAAGGCAAAGAGAGATTGCATAGCTGGAAGCGGAGAATAAAACAAAAGCCAACTGCCAACATTACTGAAGGTCACATGGCAATAAAACTTGGGGACAGCAAGAAATCGGATGCAAGCAGCCTACTTGAACATAATCAAAACACTGTTTGCCTACTAATGAAGTAATACAGGATTTCATTAGTGGTTGTTGTGAGCTTTGCAGGAGTGAATTCATAAATTAAGAACATCATTAAACACCCTCACACAGTTCCAGTTCTAGACAAAATTGAGTGCAACAGTGCCACCCACTTTTTCAGCGGACTTGGTTCCAGAATTATTTTGCCCATAGAGATTTTTTAAAAAGTCTTTATTAAAGAGTTAAAGTGCTTTATGGGAATGGGTGGGTGTCTCGATTTACTTGATTTAATTAATTTGATTTCAAGTTATTAAAAATCAATTCCGCTATGGAGAAAATTACTATGATTTTTACTTCTGGAACGCGACTGTTGCACTCTATTGGCTCCAGTCATTTCCATGATGTTTTTTGTTCCAATAACGTCCATTTTAAAGGAAAGTTCAAGGCATAATAGTCGCGAATGCAGTAAATTGATTGTTGTGCATCTTTTAAAGTTGCTTCTGGAATCCTGTTCTTTCAAGTCCTTCCTTTCAATGCCTTATGACACGCTCAGTGAATTTAGCGCAAGCACTTAGAATCAGTGATGCTTTACTCCCGCTTTGACCTTGCTGTGAGCAGCCTCTTTAAAAAAAAAAGAAAAGGGCTAAAATCTTAACAGCCTCTTTTCATTCAGAGGAAGCATACACTACTGCCATACACTACTTACACTTATAAGGTGCAGTTTCCCCATACTGCTCGTAGGGCAGAATCAAATATTAAAGACATGTAATGGAAAAGAAGATGGATAATGAAGACTGTGAAAAACGTATCACATTTGAAATGCTGTCCTTGCTTGTAGTGTTTAGTAAGCTTTGTTTTTGTTGTTTTTAATCTTTATTTTTTTGACGATATAAAGGGCAGAACAGCAGTCAACACACTGAAAATTGTCAAGAAGAAGAACAGCAGCATCTTCATATTCCTTGTGATCGTTTCCTCAAAGACAGAGAGAAAAAGGGATGGCACACATGCACTGCATCTCAAACGAATCAGCCTGTAAAGCTGAATGGCCGAGCTGTGTCCCCTGATACTGACCATGGCAACAGCGCAGGGCACATGGCAACCAGCTCTATGATTCAAGTGAAGTGCTGTCCTTATCGGCATCATTACTGCCAGACTTTTTGCCAAATCCATCCCGACAGTGGCTATAAGACACAGGTCCAGCCCTGCACTGCATCGCAATGTGAGTCCCATGTTGGTCCAGACAGCTGACAACAGAGCTTTTTGAAACCTATGAGGTGCTGTAAAAGATTGCTCCTTCAGTATCACTTGGATTCTGAATTATTAAACGAGCTACCATTTGGTTCCACACCTTTGACTCTACAGTGGGTATAGAAAAGAATCACCCCCTTTAAAATAATCACATTTTGTTGCTTTGCAACCTGAAATGAAGACGGACAAAGGTTTTGTTTTATCCAGCTGTATTTACTCAGTGCAACTTATAACATCCAAGTGAAAGATATAACACCAACATGTCAGGAAAAAATTTAAATTAAAAAACTAGAATCACTGAGTTGGAAAAATGATCACCCCCTTGTGTCGGGCTTTTTGTTGAACCCCCTTTTGCTTTAATTACAGCATTTAGTCTCACCCCTATAACATGATATTACACCTCCATGCTTTACTGTAGGATTGCTGTTATTTGAATGGTGAGCTATATTGGATGCTTGATGTTGAGGCCAAATAATTCAATTTTAGTTTCATGTGGCCTCAAGAATCTTCAAGGTGCGTTTTGGCAAAGCTCAGTCATGACTGCATGTACACATTTGCAGTTGTACACAATATACATTTCTTGCAACCCTCCAATACAAGCTACATTTGTGGACAATATGTGATGTTGTTGTCGCATGCACACAAAGATCCTTTTTTCCAACTCAGTGATTGTTTTTTTATTTATTATAATTTTTTATGACATGTTGGTGTTATATAAGTTGCTCCAAGTAAATACAGCAGGATAAAACAAAAACTGTGTCCGTCTTTATTTCAGGCTGCAAAGCAACACAATGTGATTATTGGGGGGGTGATTCTTTTCTATACCCACTGTATTCTCTTTCTGTTGAATGTCCAAGAAAGAAGAGACAAGGGACCCTTGCAGGAGGCCTAATAACGTATGCACTCTCATTATCTCTTAAAAATACATAAATTAAAAGTGCAAAGCTCTTTTATTATTTTATTCTTTCCATTTCACATTCAGTCTGTCTGAAATGTTCTGTACTAAAGCTTTCATGAGCTCATCCGACTATTATTTTCGCATGAGCTGTTGTGTTGGTTCCTCTGAATAATGGCTCTCTTCAATTATGTGTTAAAGGCAAATCTGTTTGTCTCCAAAATCTCTTTGTCGTCCTTAAACCTCGGTCACCCAAATGGCACAAAATAATGTGAAAATGTCTGATATTCATGCTATACAGCTCAAAACTCTTGAAATGTACATCATACTGCAACCTACTGAGGCTTATTTTAGAGACAATGATTATCAAAAAGAGGTAAAATATGGAGACAGGCTTTTTGAAGAGATGACCTTCCGTTTCAGTGCATGGTTGTAGTTTTATGCTTTTGTTATTATACAATATAATAAAAAATAAAAATTATAATAATTCATTTAAATAACATTTTTACAGTACAATGTGTTTAGAAACCAAGTTCTACTTCCCATCTGTACCAGAAGGCCAGAGAACAAGTAGTCAGCAAGTGGGTTCAAGTGTGGGTGAGTGTAGTCAGTTTTCACGGTGATCAGTTGTGCACCCACAACCTGACAACATTGCGAAACTGTAGTGGGAAGAGTTTTACACTGGCTGTCTAATAACGGGTACAATTTGTCAGCTTTGCGCATGACAACCTATGAGTTTACATCCCTTTCAGATGTGCCAAAACACCCACGGGATATGTGCAACACTCTCATCCTAATATCCTGGTGCTTCTTTAGTGAGCGCATGTTCTCTACCAGAAGCACCAGAAGTCTGTTGATGTGAGAATGTTCTGGAGCCAAAGCTTTGAATGTGCCTTTAGAGTGCACATTTGATAAGAGTATGCGTCTCAAGGGCTCCGCTTCACTCCTCTACCTTTTGTTGTGCTGGAGATGACTGAGCTTCAAAGAGAAGGATATTGCCTTGGGGTAAGACTGAAGGACACCCAGGGAAAAACAACAGCCAAATGACACTCTGGTCCAGGAAAGCAAAGCAGGAGAGCAGGTGAGCAGTCATTAATGGGGTTGCGGTGTCTGTGAAGAGGGACACATTGGGTGCACGCAATATGGCTCAGCATGAATGAGTGTAGAAAAGGAGGGATGATGGTGACTGATGAGGAGCAGAGCACAGAGAGGCCTGGGCTCATGAATATGTGTAAGAGTTGAGAAAGTGATGGACGAGGCAGATGGAGGGAGGGAGTCAGAGTGGCTAACGTGCTGTGCGGCTCCTGAGGCAGATGAAGTGCAGGCTGAGGACTGCAAACAAATGAAGTGTCGGGCTCTGAGAAGCTCCGCTTTGCACAGGGAGGAACCCATTCCAGCTCCGCCTCCACTAATGTGCCCATTTGGTAAATCCGTGAGAATGAATGGTGGTTCAAGCTGCCAGGGTCTTTAATGACAGCAACTCATCTCGTTTGAAGGTGGGGAGGCTGTTGCTGGGGGCAATAGGGCTTGGATGTGCTGAGAGTTAAAGTAAACAGAAAGACAAAGTGCTGGCTTTTCCGACTGCCATATATTTGGTTTCTGGAAAACTATTTACACCGTGGAAGGCTCTTCACAAATGGTGAGATTTTTTTTCCCTCCCATTAAACTCCATAAGCTAGCAAGCAAGCTACTTATTTTGTCCCAAGGCAGCACTAAAATCTAAAATGTTTCAAATTGCGTTTGGTAGGAAATAGAAGTCATTTTGCGGGAGAAGAACTAAGTTTTTTTTTTGACAGAAACGATGATGATGTGAAAGCCAAAGACGTAACGCAATCCCTCACAGCGTTGATACAATAGTTAGGAACAGGCTGTGATGGAGCAATTGAGAAAAATCAAATCCAACCATTTGAGGGGGAGATTGGCCCTTTATTAAATCATACAATCCCCTAAGTCTTAAAATACCCACTTAGAGCACCACTGCGTTCATGATACAAGATAAAAAGGTTTCAATTTGACCGAATTAACAGAGTCTCTCCTTTTGCCGCCACATTAGAAGTTGCATTACCATTCGAAGCAGACAGAGAAAAACTGCTTCATATGACCTCACAACACAGAAAGTAAGTACTAGTGAACCTAATGTGCTTGTATAGCTCATTTTCAGGGCATTTGATGTATAGCTCATTTTCAGGGCTCTGAGCGTCAAGAAGGTTTTATGATGGAGACAAATAATTTAATGCCTGGTAGTCTAATAGCCATGGGAGAATAGTTGTGAGGTGAAGAAAGGCAGTGTGGAAACCAAAAAAGTAGGTGTGTTACTTCACGGATCTGTAGGATAAAGGGCTCTTCTAAGGCAATGTGAACCACAAAGCTCTCATGAGGGAAGATAAGAGAAACCTCAGTGGATTTGAAGCCTCTGAGAGTACAACAGCACATGTCGGTTCTGTAGTATAATCAGTGCCAATGGAAGGGTAAACTATGCATGTTAAAGGTGAGCACATGGGCCACGGCATCGGTGGTAGCTCCAATTAGCATTTACCCGAGTTTGATACCCTTGGGGAGAGAGCGCAGAGCAGCTGAATTGGTCATATCTGTGGGGCTGCTCGTGAACCTAAAGTGGTGATGAGGGAGAGAAGAGGTTATGCAAGTGTTGTTACCTGGGCCTGCAGGGTGCTGATCTGAGACTCTAGCTCTTTGATTTTCTCCTCCTGCTTCTGCAGCTCGGCCTGTGCTTCCTGCCGTGCGCTGAACTCCTCGTCGAACTGAAGACAATAACGCACATACAAAAACATTGACGTAACTATGCAGATTCCATCAACCACAAGACACATCAACAAATTCAGCATAACTCTCCACCTTCATTATCATCATCAACATCTTGATCCAAGGTTAAGATTTTACTAGTCTCATTCACTTATAAACTTGGCACTGAACAGCGTCTTGTTGTCTTTGTAGCATCTTTATCGTTTGGTTTCTGCGTAAACCTGCATTTGCCTCTCTCGTTATTTACACTACATGTGCGAATCGGTGGGCGGGGCTAAACAGGCAGTGATGTAGAAGCAGGTGTTGATCATCTTCTGAGGAGGCGGTGTTTAGCCACTATTACGTCATAAAGTGGCACATTACACACACAACCTGTCGTTTTGGCAGATTGGCTTCAATAAAAGCTGTTTTTAGACTAATGAGAAAGTTTTGATTTCTGAAACTTACAGCATGTTTTTATAGTACAATGACCTCTTTTATGTCAAAAGGGAATTTTGATTTCTCAGTTCAATTTGATTTCTCCTTTAAACGGATCAAATGTCACAGTAAAGACATTTACATTATTTACTTGAAATATAAATATTTTATAACGTTCTTTTGAGCTTTCTATTCATAAAATTTTTTTAAAAAATGTATCAAAATGTTTTCGCTAAAATATTAGGCAACATTATTAGGTAATAAATAGTATAATAAAAACAAAACTGTTGTTTTAAATGCTAATAATAGTCCACAATATCACTGTTTTCACTAATTTAATTTTTTATTAAAATAAATGCAACATTGGTGAGAATTAGACTTTTTCAAAAACATTTAAAAAAATCTTGTCATGCACAAACTTTTGATTGGACAATAATGTGTATATAAATATTAGATACATTACATACTATTACATTTATATGTATGCATTAAAAAATGACATTCAGCATTGGTACACAGCTGCAAACACAAGCATACACACAGTTAGTGAGTGAGACCCAATGTTTTCAGCTACCCAGTAGTATTTGTGTTACTTAGCCATTAAAATGCAAGCCTCAGATGTCTGGCTGACATTTGGCAGACTTGGGCAGGAAGCGGAGCAAGAGCATGGATACACTCTCAAAGCATCATGGGATACAGCTCTTGGCTTCACTGACAACACCAGCAAGTGTTAGCTCAGCATCCTTACGAACCTTCAATGTATTAACTAAAAAAAAAACATTACAATATTGTTCATTGGGGCCTTTAACACTATTTGAAATGATGCCTGTAAATAGTGTTCCCAGTATGGCACAAACAAGCTTGTATATTGGAGCATCAGCATTGATTCTGCTTGCACTGATACACATCATGTTGCTCTGCTGCCAGCTATTGATCAGACGAGAACAATCAATGTGCTGTCTCACTGCTTATGGGAGAAAAGTTTGGTGACAGCAGCCTGGTTGCATACCAATAGCAGCACACAGGGTGATTAATAGACTCACCTTTTTGGAGAATTCAGCCGCTCTCTGCTCACTCTCTTCCACTTTGGCTTTATCCACACACTGATCTGTCATACAGTGTACCGGGTACATGAAAACGCACAAAACACACAAGTATATGTAAATTACAAGGTGCAATGTTAACACGATGCTTAAGATTCCACATCAGACACAGAATGAAGACAATCAAAAGAACACAAAAGCAAACAGAATAAAATGAACCTGTCAGTATCTCATTCCCCCCTCCCCTCTGGAGATTTGTATTCTGTTCTGGAGGTTTGAGATGTAAATTTAAAAATGGCGCCCCACATAATCTGTTTTCAACTCATTAAAGTAAGGCAAGAAGTGAGAAAATCTAACATTTCTTGTTTCTGCAGATGGGTCTGAAAACTTTTAATGAGCCTTTGTTGTAAAGTTACGAAAGTGTTAGTGACAAAACACAAAAGGGGAGGGCAAAGAAGAAGAAAAAAAAAAGAAATGATAAAAATTTACTTCACCCTTATTTTAATAATTCCTTTGGTGTCCAATAACCTGGATGACAAAACAATTGGCAACAAATTCTCCCCAACCCCCCCCCAAAATGTAATCATAAAACAAATGAAACAAGTCCAGGTCTGCAAATATAACTGGTACAGCTGAAGTCGTGTTGCGTTTATAAGACATGACATGCCAGCCAGGTTTTGCAGATAATGTTTTATTTATGCATAATGAGTGTACCTTATCTTACATGTCAGGAGAGTGCAGCTGTTTCAGACAGGGCTCTCATGGGGACCGGGGAATGATAATTAGATCTACTCCAGGAAATCGCAAACTTTTATCAACTGCAGTTGCGCCTCCCTCAGAGCAGTGTGATTTCACAGTAATGTTAGACAGAATGTAGTGTCAACCCGTGCAGGATTGTTATAATCATACTCTAGACATCCCATTAAGCCCCAAAAATCTTTCTGGCGGATTTCATTGAAGTGTTATAACTCAATACTGCTCTCTCGCTTTTACCTAAAGCTGGTTACCGAAACCTGAAACTCCTTTTTATTCATTCTGAAATGTTCTGGCCACTTTATCAAACGACCATACAGTTCAAGACAGAATTTAATAGTCTGGAAAACTGAATTTGTACCAATGAATAATAACTTAAAAGGAACTGCACTGAGGTCTACTGTGGTGTTCAATGCAAAGACGTGTTCTTCAATCAAGACTCTGGAGACCTAATCTCAGAATTACCGACGAGATGACTGAAGTCCACATCCAGTCGCTCCCTGTAGGCGAAATCAGGGTCCATCCCACTGCGGTGGAGGATGATCTGGGACACACACTCCTCGATCACCTTGTAATATTGAGGCCTGTAATAAAAAGGAGTACAGCGAGAGTGAGGGGGCAGAGTATGACAAGAGACAAAGCCGTTAACTTCATATAAAATACCGCCTCGTGCATTCCTGCGAGGACAGCTCTTCATAAATCATCTGGTAAGACATATCTTTTAATGGTATTTCACAGCATTGAATTAAGGCTCCTTCTTTCGGTACATAATGAAATCACTAACGGCAAAGTGTGCAGCCGGAGAGCGCTTGGGTGACTTTGTCCATTCAAGGTGAAGACAAACTGACATCCGGGCCTCCATGCTTCCCTCTCTAATTTGCAATCATCTTTGGCAATTAAGGGCAGCAATAAAACCTGAGACGCAAATCTAATCAGTGTAATCTGTGTAATTAGTTGCACAATGGCAGGGAAAACAAGGCCTTGTGTTTGGAGGGGTGACAATGATGGGACGAGGACTAAATGGGTCTGGGACTATACACTGCCACTGCGCTTAGTGTGTGACCTTTTCTAAGTTATAGTACTAAATTTAATTGCGAGTGACATTTAACAAATACAACGTCGACTTAAGCCGAGCTCCATAGTGGCAAATAATTATGTTCCAAGCATGACCTTGAATGTCTCATGTAGGTCCTCAATTTTCCTCTCAGAAATGTGTCATCCCCTTCTCCCAGCTTCTCCACACAAAACAAGCTTTCGAATTCTAATGAACGAGCATGACTTTAGAAATGTATCTGCGCTAAATAATTGCACCACAACTCATAGCTAAAGCCACTTAATTCTAGAGCATTACATTTTTTAATCTACAAACATTCTTGTTTGATAAACAATATTTGTGGGGGGATATAGATAAGCTAATGGATGAACAGCAGAGTTTTTTGACCCAAAGTAATAAACTACGCAACAGGGGTGTATTTGCACTTATGTTTTCTTATGATCCATATTTCAGTTTTATTTGCTGCTCTTATGGTTTGTGTGCTGCAAATAAGAAAAATCAAGATGTCCCCTAAATTCAGACACAGAAGGTGGCACATTTAATATTTTAGATAATAATACACAAACAAATAATAAAACAATAATAAATAAATAATGTGCAAGCATTCAGATGCTCTCTTATCATTGCTGTTAGTATTAAAGGGTTAGTTCACGAAAAAAATTTAATTTCTGTCATTAATTACTCACCCTCATGTCGTTCCAAACCCGTAAGACCTTCGTTCATCTTCAGAACACAAATTAAGATATTTTTGGTGAAATCTGAGAGCATTCTGACCCTGCATAGACATCAATGCAACTGAAACATTCCCAGGCCCAGAAACATAGTAAGGACATTGCTAAAATAATCATAATGTAATGTTATGAAGCTACGATGATACTTTTTGTGTGAAAAAGAAAGCAAAAAAATAATGACTTTATTCAACAGTTTCTTCTCTTCCTTGTCAGTCTCTGCCGCCATTCACGAGAGTACCACAATGCATGCATGTGATGCTGCTGAGGCAGGAGCCAGCAAAGAAATTGTTGAATAAAGTCATTATCTTTGTTTTCTTTGCGCACAAATAATCTTCTTGTAGCTTCATAACATTACGGTTGAACCACTGGTGTCACATGGACTATTTTAACAATGTCCTTACAACGTTTCTGGGCCTGGGAACGTTTCAGTTGCATTGTTGTCTATACAGGGTCAGAAAGCTCTCGGATTTCACCAAAAATATCTTAATTTGTGTTCAGAAGATGAACGAATGTCTTACGGGTTTGGAGGGTGAGTAACTGATTAATTAATGACACAATTTTCATATTTGGGTGAACTAACCCTTTAACTAAAACTGTAATTATTAAAAATAAGCGTTTTCGTAAACTGAAATAAAGCCAAAATAAAATATAAATACTACATGGGGATATATATATATATATATATATATAATTTTACTTCAGTTAGTTGCAAAGGCAACAAATGTTTATACAATATACAATTTAAGACATTAACTATAATTGGATGTCTCTCCAAGCTCAGTGACATATAACATACTCAACCAAACAAATAATCATATTCATACAATTTGCCAATTCAAAGCCTTGTTGTAAGAGACACGGCAGCGATGTGTAATAAGTGTGCAGAGGGGGCGGACGGGGTGACTGGAACTGATAGGGCTAAGAGTGTCACTGAGCCCGGCTTAGTGGCAAGGCCCGAAGCTTACGCCTGTCACTGATGTACACCATATCATTATCTCAATAAGCCGCCCTATTTTCTCAACATCCTGGCTACCACCACTGCCACATGCTGGATAGAACCGGGAAGGAGACGACTGACACAGAACTGTCACACCCCACCAGAGAAGACGGCATATGTCCCACTCATCTGAGCCACTCTTTCCTTCTCTCTCTCAGTCTGGCACCTTCGCTGTCTGCCTCTCATCTCCCATCCAACCCCTGCTCCACACTGCCCATCTAATCTTCACATCAGTCATGGCCAAAAGTAGAAGACGTGCTCCATATACACTCCCTCTGATCTACCTTCTGTTAGAGAGTCTTAGAGACTTATTGCCCAACATCTTCCGCTGCTCTAAAAAGCAGTAAAAAGGGAGGCTGAAGGGCTGAAGGACATCAGTAACTGTTATTAAATCGTTCTGTTTATTTTATTTCATTTTAAAAAAGGTTATTAAACAGATTGAGGGAAAACTTTCCATACTATTAACCAAGGACAGAGTTGAGGGCACAGAGTTAATTGAGGATAAAGATGTCTGGTTGTGTTGCTGGAATTAAAGAATGGTTTTAAATCAAACGGTGCGATCTATTGGCACGGACAGCTCTCCTTTATGGCTGGCTTTGATCACCAGAGTACCTCCCAACACCTACAAGAGCGACGTTGTCGACTGATGCGGACTGAAGTAGAGAGATGTCACCAGCCTATTCTTCCCTCCCTCTCCTTGAAGTCTCGGCCATCAAAGCACACACTGATCTCAAGGGATTCCTTTAATCTAAAATTATAGCCAAACATTTTCCCAACCAGCCAATCCAATCTACATAAAACGTCTCACCAGGTTCAAAAGCAACCAAAGACATCAGTGACGAGAACTTTATAGAGTGACCATGCAATGCAAATGCATCCTTCTTTAGATGCTAAGCTTGAGAAATATTTTTTAATGCACATAAAATTGTCATTGCTCAAACATTGCTCTTTCGGAAGCTATTAGCGATGATTCAAGTACTTTGTATCAGTTGTTTCTCATAAAATTTCTAAATAGGAATAAAAAAAGAATGATATTAATATCGTGATATTAACATTTCTGATTTCTTTGGGATTACTAGGGTCTTTTTTTCTCAGGAGAAAAATATGAGAGGCAGGAGACTTGCAGGAGAATTTTCTCATCATTTAATCTCACTGGTGTCTAAAAGAAACAATTGGAGACGCTAAATAGATTCCATATGTTGTTTTTCTTTCCAATGGGAGAGAATCTTTAATAAGTGCATACATTTTTAATCAGCGTTTGTAGTGATCCTGTTTTCTGCCGTCAGAGTTACAGAGACAGGGGTGGGAGGGATGGCACTGAACGAGAATCTGCCATACTACTTGGTTAATGTGTTTTCTATTTCTCGCTTTTTCCAACAAGCCAGGCAATACATTATTCATGGCTCAAAGTGAGCAGCAACATGTCCATAGTAAATTCCCTCCCTTTCATCGCTTCGCTCTTCCCTCTTTATTAAATATTTTACCTCAGCAACAGGTCTGACGCAACAGTGAACTGAAATGATCAGTATAATTTCTTCACTTTCTGACAGACACAAAAACTCTGAGTGCGGCTGAACATGCAAAATATCTCTCTCTTTTAAATAAATTATCATTCAAAGACATTAAACAGTGAAAACCAACTAAAATCTTATATCATGATAGGAGTAATTTTATCATTTTAAAAAACTAGTATTTTTTGCTGAAATTACATTGCTTTTCTTTTATATATATATATAATTTATTTATTTTTTGATGAATAAAAAAATATTAAATTACTTTTAATTCTTATTTTAAGTTTTATTTACTCATTTATTTCATTCAATTGTAATTATAATCTGTGAATTCTCAAGAATGCTTGTTGAGTCAATAGAAACTGAAAAAAACTGTCAATGAACAGATAGATGCAACCTTGTTATGGATATTAAAGAAAATATATGATAGCTCTCACCTGATATAATAATCATTCCTGATGAGCAGCAGGTGCTGGATGATGGATAGGAAGTAAGGTTCTGAGCCCGTGTCTTTCACCATGTTGGACAGGAGATGGTACACTTCACCCATATCAGTGCATAGATGGTTAAGGACACAACTGCACACACTGCTTGCCATGTAGTAAAACAATGTTTATCTAAACATGCCATTGTGTATGGATATAAAATTGTACATAAGACTGTAACGGCTGGACAAATCAGACAAATGATTACTTGTTTGTATTACTATTTAACAAATAATCCAACAAACCCCCTCACCCAACAACCAGACTGGGTGTCGGGATGTCTGCGAACAACCCCCCAGACCCCTGGTTACATTTTTATTATGTAGAAAGAATCTCCCCCCTACTTAATTCACTTTGAAACAGACACATACTGCCCATAGGAAAAGACTTCTTTCATTATTTCATAGCCAAACCTTTCTATAAATGACTATGCATATCCCAAGGTCACAGTGTGTATTATTACTGTTCTTGTATATTGTCTTTTGTATTGTATACTGTTTTATGCATGCTTATGATACAACCATTAGTTAATGTAACCTCAGCATGTTTTGTATCTACAAATTTGTATTTTGATGATCTAAATGAGAGCGTATATGTTGATACCCATGCAACATATTAGTGTTCTAGGGATCTTTAACAGTTTTTGCGTCAACAACCAATCCAGTTACATATGCAAAACACCATGCTCGAAGACAAAGACTTGTAAACTTTCCCTCGGAAAGTTTAAGTTACCCTTGGCTCACTGACCCCCTGGAGGTGTGACCTCCACAGAAGTTAAAAGGCACTGTCAGCGACGTCGCACTCTTCTCTCTTCTTCGGCTCTTACCCTTTTGCCTCTTAGACATCCAGTCCAACTGCGATCCACGGGACCTCCCCCACGCCGACAGGACATCAAAGTTGCAGCAAGCCATGTTGCAACTTTTCATCTGAGAGAAAACTCTCCTGACCACAACTGAGTCAGGACAACATCTTTGAAGTTGTCATTCTTCAACCCGGAAAAATGTAATCACAACATCAACACCACCGAACCATCAAGACTTGCATCCGAGACTGCATCCAGACGCTCGTTCAATGGCCAAGGCAATGCAAGTATCATACATTTCACCAAACTAAACAGAGGTTTAGTATAAACTGTAAACGCCATTGTAAAACGGCACTGATGATTTCTGCTCAGGTGGTTAACTGACTCATTTTCCATAACTGCGTTCTCAGGTTCATTCATCCACTTTAACTCCCCTGTGTACGTATGGGTAAGTGTGTGTGTGTGTGTTTGTTAGACTAGTTTTGTGTTAGTGTTTAGTTAATAAACCTTTTGTGCACAAATTACACAAGTTTCTGATTCTGTCACTGCTTGTGGATAACGTTCCTTTAACGATCGGATCTTGTTACATGCTCTAATGCACTAGTACTGTAAAAAAGTTATTTTCTATGGCCACGAAAATATAATTTCTTAGAGTTGATATGAAATTACACTGAATGTTCGCTGGACAAACTAATTAGTTTATGGCAATATTAATTCTGCTACAGTTACTACTGGTAGCTGATATAAGTAACTAATTAATTATTAATTCATTTTAGTTATTTACATACATTTCCCTTTTGAGCTAATTTGCTACAATGCATATACACTAGAGTGATTGTAATATGAAGTGCAGTAGTATAATTCTAAGATGAGAAAGAACAATAAAATGCAAGAAATACAACTAAAGGTGAATAGCCATCATTCACTGGAAATTGCTTGCTTGTTTTAATTCAGATGGAGGGCTGAATCAAAGTTTGAGTCTAACCAGAACTGATGCCATCTTCCTGCATTCTAAAGTATCTTTAGAGATCTAATTTGCTAATGTGTAAACACAAGGTATTGAAGAAAAGTGACGGAGGAAATACCTCTTCTGCCAGTTCATACCCTGGCTCTGGACATGAATCAAATTAAAATTATTTTAGTGTGATTATTTAAAGTAATAAAATATGGATCAGTCACTTCCTTTTTATATTTATTTATTTTCTGGACTGAAATCTCGTCTTCAGTTTGTCTTGCTTGTCTCCAAAACAGAAGAAATGTGCTCTTAAACTTGCAGAGTATTGATTAAATGTCCAACATCTCTTCCTGAGGAGAAAGGGCAGTGGCTTTCCATGTCTAAAATAGATGTAAGATCAGATAGTCATCATAGTCTTCTTTTTTTATTATTATTATATCAAGAACTGATGCCCCAACCCTCTCTGCTATGTCCACTTGAATTAAAGAAATGACCGGCAATCTATTTTCAATAGTGGCAAGCTAAAGCCTATGATGATTAACAGTAGCAGCTCATTAATTGTTTCTACTAACGGTCCTAAAATGGAGTTATTATAACAATTCTCACTTTTAAAAAAATAGTGTTTTTTAATAAACTACAATCTTTGTAAATATGGGCAAAAATAATTTAAGGAATTGTGTGTCTATTTGTCTTGCTGCACTGAGCAGAGGTGGGTGAAAATTTTTACAATTTGGTTTTGACAATGTCTGTTGAAATATTTCAATGCTGACTGCAGGGTGATGCACTGGTTGGACTGGAGCACACTTTCTTGAGCCGCCACAATCACTCCTAGAAATAAAAAAAGATGTGGAGCCTCAATATTTAGAGAAAAAAAACTAAAAAGGTACAGCAGGTCTGTTTCAATTTAAATAATATTATTTTAAAGAATATATAATTCTCTAACCTGAGACAGATTTTAACTATAAACCATATAAACTATATATATATATATAGTGTATACGTAACACTATACTGTATATTTATGGAACAATAATAAAATGGAGCGTTAAGCCTTCCAGCCACTGCACTGCACTTTAAAAACTGCCCTTGCAGCAAACCAATCTGCCCCAACACTGATGTACATTTTCTAATTAACTCTATCATTTCAGTTATTCATAAGGTTGTGAGTGCACCCCATGTTCAGTCAACTCAATGTGAGAATACAAGCATCTTCCGAGCATTATTGCTGATAACACAGGTGATCTGCTTAAGTGAATTATTTTCTCCACACTTCAAAAGCAGCAAAATGCACCAGAAAGCCATTCTCTCTATTAAGCAGGGCCACGAGTGTACACACAGACACACACCGTATGTGCATATTTGTATTTTGGGCATGTTTGCAGTAATGTACTGGTGGGGAAGGTGATGCATAAACATGAGCTGTATCTGTATGGAACTGAGCAATACAAAAGACAGAGAGCGAGGGTAAATCAATCACACTGCCCAACTTGCAATTCATATTCAACAGGTTCCTGAAGTCGCTATAGTGGGCAGAACTAAACCAGAAGTGCTATACTACTACTACTACCACTACCAATAATAATTATTATAATATGTTACACTTTTTTCTGCTCTGGGTGAACGTTCACGGTGTGTGTGTGTGTGTGGGTTGGCACTTGGATGGGATAAATGCGAAGCACAAATTCCGAGTATGGGACACCATACTTGGCCACACGTCCCTTTATTTCGATATAATAACTTCTAAAGTGGACTAAGTAACTTTGCAACTACATGTCAACTAACTCTCATTATAGTTATATATATTAGTAGGATTAGTAGAATAAATTGACATGTACTTGCAAAGTTATAGTCAGTTTATTAGGGGACCTGCACACGCACACACACACACACACACACACACACACACACACGCACACACCACCACCATCATTTAATGCAAGCAAATTCTTAGAATCATCCCTTTGGCGAGAAATGATTAAAACGTAGTGCTCTGCAACAGCCTCTTATTCATACTGCTCTCATCTTAAAGAAAAAAATCTATATATCACATTACATAAAATAAAATGAATTCATAAGGATGGAAGAGGCAGTTGCCACTGTGAAGGACTGGGAGAGAAAAATGGTAAAAATGAAGGGAAAAGATGCAAGTGGATTATTAAAGCTGTCCAGAGGAAGGAGGGATGGAAGGAGGGAGCAGGCCTGGCTGAACAGATGTGTATTTTTAATTGATTTATCAGATCAGGGCAGTGGGCAGGGAGGAGTGCTGATGGTTCTTAACAGGCTATAAGGTGGCTCCAGGGAGCCGGCCAGGACGAGAAGGAATGCTATTCGCTTGGTTGATCAATGCAGAGTGGAAAGATCATTCTTGACGGACATGTGAACAGTCTTCTTATACATTCACCAGCCTTGGCCTGGGCTTTTGGAGTTGCTGTTGGTCTACATGTGTTATTCTCCTGCATGATTTTATTTGTCAGGAGCAGCTCCATCATTCTGTCTCTCGCTTGTTCTGCCTTTGTTCGGCCACAAAAACAGAAACCTGACTTGAGTCAAGGAAAAGACACTGCTCAATAAAACATTTAGGGCATGACAGCCATTTGGAGGATTGCATAAGTTTGATTGACTTTTTTTTTCCAGGGGATGTTAGGAAGAAAGCTTGAATTAATTCAGTGGAGAGGAAAAAAACAGAACAAAAACAAAAACAAAAACAGTTGTGTATGTGTATTCAGGGCATGTTGGCTGTAATGGGCTGATCTGAACAAAAACAAAATCAAAAACCAACATTTTCATTAACTGAAATAAAATAAAAAAGTAACTGGGAAAAAAATCATATGACTCCAAAAAAAAAAAAAAAAAATCACAATACTACAGAGTGCTGAGACTGCTGAAAATTTTAAATTATACCAGTGCATTAACTTAGGCGGGCCTAAAATGAAATGAAATAAAAATACAAAGTGAAAATAGAAAACTTTAAAACCCCTGTGAAAGTAAAAATAAACTAAAAAAAAAAACACTAAATAAAAATTAATTAATTCTTAAAAATGCTGCTTTTCACAGTAGTTATCTTGGGTTCAGGAGCAGCCCGTTGGCATCAGGAACCATAACACTATTCTTGATTCCTTCTCTCAAAGTCCCAGCTACCCAGAGGCTGCAGCAGGGGAACACGACGAGGCCCACTTTGCTCCCATCGTGCAACATTATGCCTCCAAATCACCAAAATTCTTAAATCTTCTCATATTCCCATTTGAGCAATTATTTCAATTTTGAATTATTGAAGAGACCCACGGAGGGAATCTAGATCGTTCATCAAGTTCTCCGGAGGGCAAATGCATTTCGTCATCAAAACATTTGGAACGATGTTGCAGATAGGGTGCTGGTGCAGTTTGAGGAACTTCTTTTCCTTTATGGGTTGAGTTTGCAATGATGAGCTTCTGCAGCACAGTGCCTGAGGTGGATTCCAGCAGAGTAATTAAAAAACAGCACTGCTGGGACAGTTTTAAGTTTGCTTGCGTCACTGAGATGGCGTGACGGCAAAACACATTTTAATCACGTTTAAAAAGTCAGGCTCTGCAGCCCATCGCAGGTTTTAAAAGTGTTCATTTGTTTTAACCGCCAGCATTGGTGAGGTGTTTTAATTTACTTCACAATTAGCGGTGGTTCTTTTCATTAAAAGCCTTTTTTCAAGGAGGAAAACAAGGCACCAAATCAAAGGGATTCATTCCTCCCTTCTACTCTCGCTCGGCCTGTATCATATCGTCGTCTTCATTGCTCTCTCAACAGCAACACAACGATTAGGGATTTGGTTAATGAATGTGTGAGAGTGTCTTGTTGTGCTTGGTCACAGATCACTGCAGTCTGTGGAGAAGCAGAGAATGATAAATACAGGTGTGGTGCTGCATCCTTGCCCTTTTGATTCGGTTCCTCTGAGACCAGCCTGGAGAATGCAGAGGAAAAAGTAAGAAGGAAAGATGATAAAGTAAGCATCTCTCAAGAAGAGTTTTTTTGTTTTGTCGCTAGTTTCCAGAGCTCCAAGTTCTTTGTGTGACCTGGTTGGGGCTGATTATGGTTTAGAATGCACCTCCCGTTCTATTAGAATAGCCAGCAGCTAGCTTCCATCTTGTGGTGTAGGTGGCAGGGTTGACAGATGACCACAGAACACAGTGAGAAGAGGGATAGGGGGACTTGTTTACATGTCAAGCTGAGCCGGGGTGCAGAAGAGCTTTGAGTGACAGATGTGCCAATTTCTACCTGGCTCCAGCATCAAAAAGAGCATTGGGAATGAAGAGGCCTCACACATTGACTGACACTAAACAGAGCAGATCTATATTTGCTGCCCTGGGCAAGCAGAATTCTACTAATTATTTGAAATAAGTGAAATAAAACATGAGGACATATAAAATAAAATAAAAAATATATATGATGTTGATGTGTGTTCTACTTGAATATTCCTTGCTCGTTCTAGAGAATAGCAGAAGCATCATTAATAAATTCAGACACAGGCTAAAGAACATGCCCAAAGATATAAACATACCTCAAAAATAAAAATAAAATAAAATAAAATAATAAATAAAATGACAACAGCAATATAAAATGTATTAAATAACAGATAATATAGCAATTAAATAAATAAATTAAATTAAAAATCAGACAAAAACAATTTAACACTACAAAAATAAAATAAAATTAAATAAAATTAAAGGATACTGCTGCATTATTCTTTTTGAGCAAACACAACATATTCTCTAATTAAACTTTGTCTATTAAAGAATGAGTCTTATTCTAGACAAAAGGCAAAACTGTCTTCTGGAACTATAGCTATTAACTTTGCAGCTACAAAGTCTGTGTTACCTGAGCAAGTATGTATGTGAATGTGTCTATAAAGAGTGTGATGAATTATAACATGAAGGTAATAATAAGGTGGAGTGGCAGGTGTGGAAGGGCAGCATTCTGACTCTGTTTCTGGGAAAGGGCACCATCACTGACCTGTAGCTGCTGGGCTTCGTGGTTCTCCAGCCCCTCCACTATCGGAGCAAACCTCTCCTTATTATTCCTCTCCGCAGCAATGGTCATGGCTGCCAGGATCTTATCCAGACTAAAGGAAAACAAGAAGACAAAAACAGTGTGTTTAGGTAAACAAGCTTTTTATCAAGACACAATCGTGACATTGGTTTAGAATGTTCACCCGAGTTGGTCTAAGCTTGTAATCTCAATCTCAGACGTTTACGCACTGGAACTGGAACAAAGCCACAGACTTTTATGTAGATTTATAACTCACTAGCGTTTTGAAATACCAAAGGAAGCCTAATGTTCTCCGTAGTAATAAGAGAAATCCTCTAGTCTACAGTATGTGATGCTGTGTCAGAAGCCGCAACATAAGAGAACCAAAGAGATGCGTTTGGACAGAAGTACAAGCAGTGTTGGTGAGAAAGCAAGACTTTACAAGGTCCCATATCTGTTTTGCTGACTCAAGCACCGGTGGATTGCAGTCCAAGGCTAAGGGAAAAGAATAACTGAATGCATCATAGACAAAATAATTACTGCAGAACAAATCATTGCTTGTGTAAAAACAGCCCATTCCAAGAAACACATGCATCACAGCTGTGTCTTAACTGTGTATATCATTAGTCTTGCCCTTATCAGGTTCAGAAAAGCTCATTTTGGATTTTATCAATAGTTTTCGATTTGAATATATTTTAACATGCCATTTTCTCCTTTAATAGCAAAGCTGAATTTTCAACAGCCATTACTCTAGTCTAGCCAATGTCATGATTCTCCAGAAATCATGGTGTAACACAAATGCCTTTACAGTCACTTTTGATCAATTTAATATGTCCTTGCTGAGAAAAAAAAAATATATATATATTTTTTTTTAATCGTACACAACTTTGAATGGTAGTGTATCTGGGCTTCCACAAAAATATTAAGCTTTTTATATATTTATATGAAATATAATTAATAATTAATTATATAATTTTATATTATGACAGAGAGTAAATTTTTGGGTGAACGAGTCATGCTAAGAGTTTTTCTTTTTCTTTTTTGGACTACAATTCAGTAGTGTATCCTTCCCTTTGATGAAGTTCAATTTGAGGAAGTCTATTATGTGTGAAAATCACAATTATGATTTATACATACATGCACAAAATGCTTATCAACTCTTGTATGCAACAGATTATAAAGACTACATACTAGTGATCGACACCAGATGTTAAGTTCACTTTTATATGTCTCGTTACCCCAAAATCGTTTTGCTTTGCTCCGTTGTTGAAGAAACTGCGGAGATAAGTTTTGTCAAACAGCTAGGTTTAAGATCCGTGTTTTGTGATTCAGGTGATCCAGGTTGTTGTCGTGAGTGGGCTTTCATGAGAGTCTTTCATGCTGGTTCAAACATGGCTTCAGAATAAGCTACACCTGCTCAACTCCTAAAGAGGGCTTTGATGTGACAGCACTAAACATAAGCCAGTATCACTGCGTTTTAGGGGGAAGGAGCAAGTTTCAGCACTAAGTGAGGTATCAGCATTTTTACAGCTGTTACACAGATCTGCACACTCTCTGATCACCTACATACCCGTAAAAAAAAAACACTAATCTACTCACCTACCACACACCAATTCACTTAGCATGTGTGCATGAGTCTCTCTGCGTGTGTTTGTGTGTTTACTGAAACAGATCCCAGGGCTGAAGGTACTGATCGCCAGATAAAAATTATCGGTTACACTTTACTTGAAGGGGTGTGCATAAGACTGACATAACACCTTCATAATCATGACATGACACTTAGATAATCATGACATGACACATGTCATGAATATGAAGGTTTTTTATGCATGTTTATGACAACTGTCATTAAGTGTCATTCACTCAGTTATGTCATTTTTAATGCAAAGATGACATTGTTTGAGATGTCTTTGTTATGGTCTATGGTTAGGGGTAAGGGTAGGGGTAGGGTTAGGTCAAATAATGTCATATTTGCATTAAAAATGACATAACTGAGTGAATGACACTTAATGACAGTTGTCATAAACATGCATAAAATCTCCTTCATATTCATGTCAAGATTATGAAGGTGTCATGTCAGTCTTATGCACACCCCTTCAAGTAAAGTGTTACCAAATTATCAGTTGCAAACTCAGCTTTTTAATTATTCAACTACAAAACTAACACAGCAGGCATACGCTTAGCCAGGGGCTTTCTAGTAGGGATGCAGCGATTAAACGGTTTCACGATTAATTAATCGTAAAGGCTTCGCTACACTGAGTGTTTCTGTTGCACGGAACAGAACAGTTGCAACTTGCGCAAAACGAAAACAAAGTTACACTAGTGGTGCACCATCTTAAAATGCCGTGCTTATCAGAGAAACGGAGGCTACTACACACACTAGATTAACTAGTCTAATGACACAGGGACCAACAGAGAAGCTTTATTTCCACCAGAGAAATGACTGAAGTCGATAGTGTCGGAGCATTTTGGGTACACCATGAATGACCAGGGTGTCATTTAAATATTGCTGTAAAAAAAACTGCTAAAGAGCAAATGCATAAGGGATAATACACGGCTAGCTGTGCATTGAACAATGTTAAAAACCAAAATCAATCGACGCGAAGCTACGGCCCTCTTCAGATCAGACAGAGATGAAATAGTGCGGTAAGATCACACTTATTTGAATTAATTAATTATAACATTTAGCTACTTATTCGATCGATCGATCGAGAGAGAGAAAGAGAGAAGTGACAGTTGCGTGTGTGAAATAGTCTACCTGTGCCTGCAAGTCTCTCTACAAACAATGAAGCTGTGAGTTTAGTTACTTAAACAGCGATTTAACCCCCTTGTTGCTGATGAATATAATGTTATTAAAAGTCGAGGGGCAGCGTTCACAACAAGTTTGTGTGTGCGCAGCGCGATCTCCAATCTCACAAAATAGAAATTGAGCACGTTTACATGCACACCAGTAAGCTGATAACTCACAAAGATCAGCTTATTAAAATAACCAGTTTTCCCCGTTTACATGCACATCAGTAACCTGACAACGCAAGTAAGCTGCTTTTACATGACTTAATTAATAAATCAGGTTATTTCCCTGTAGTGACGTCAAAATATAATCATTTGCATATCTGACTCAGAGTATACCATACATTTGTCAGTTGTGATGTTAAATTGAGCTTGCAACATGTCAACTTGCAACATGTTGGGAAACTTACAGCTCATATATTATCCTCTCATGCAGTTATAAACGCAGCATTGTGACTGAACCACTTCTACTTCTGCTGCACGAGATGAGAACACATTTGTCATGAAAAAGTCTGCGTTTGTGATATATTTCCTTCTTTCTTTACTGCAAGACGTTTGCTCGGTCTAGATGTGCTTAAATCTGCACTAACGATGCATTCCTGTCACGTATCACACATGCGCACTTCAATAAGCTGATTTGCATTAAAAATGACATAACTGAGTGAATGACACTTAATGACAGTTGTCATAAACATGCATAAAATCTCCTTCATATTCATGTCAAGATTATGAAGGTGTCATGTCAGTCTTATGCACACCCCTTCAAGTAAAGTGTTACCAAATTATCAGTTGCAAACTCAGCTTTTTAATTATTCAACTACAAAACTAACACAGCAGGCATACGCTTAGCCAGGGGCTTTCTAGTAGGGATGCAGCGATTAAACGGTTTCACGATTAATTAATCGTAAAGGCTTCGCTACACTGAGTGTTTCTGTTGCACGGAACAGAACAGTTGCAACTTGCGCAAAACGAAAACAAAGTTACACTAGTGGTGCACCATCTTAAAATGCCGTGCTTATCAGAGAAACGGAGGCTACTACACACACTAGATTAACTAGTCTAATGACACAGGGACCAACAGAGAAGCTTTATTTCCACCAGAGAAATGACTGAAGTCGATAGTGTCGGAGCATTTTGGGTACACCATGAATGACCAGGGTGTCATTTAAATATTGCTGTAAAAAAAACTGCTAAAGAGCAAATGCATAAGGGATAATACACGGCTAGCTGTGCATTGAACAATGTTAAAAACCAAAATCAATCGACGCGAAGCTACGGCCCTCTTCAGATCAGACAGAGATGAAATAGTGCGGTAAGATCACACTTATTTGAATTAATTAATTATAACATTTAGCTGATCGATCGATCGATCGATCGAGAGAGAGAAAGAGAGAAGTGACAGTTGCGTGTGTGAAATAGTCTACCTGTGCCTGCATACAAACAATCAAACAATGAAGCTGTGAGTTTAGTTACTTAAACAGCGATTTAACCCCCTTGTTGCTGATGAATATAATGTTATTAAAAGTCGAGGGGCAGCGTTCACAACAAGTTTGTGTGTGCGCAGCGCGATCTCCAATCTCACAAAATAGAAATTGAGCACGTTTACATGCACACCAGTAAGCTGATAACTCACAAAGATCAGCTTATTAAAATAACCAGTTTTCCCCGTTTACATGCACATCAGTAACCTGACAACGCAAGTAAGCTGCTTTTACATGACTTAATTAATAAATCAGGTTATTTCCCTGTAGTGACGTCAAAATATAATCATTTGCATATCTGACTCAGAGTATACCATACATTTGTCAGTTGTGATGTTAAATTGAGCTTGCAACATGTCAACTTGCAACATGTTGGGAAACTTACAGCTCATATATTATCCTCTCATGCAGTTATAAACGCAGCATTGTGACTGAACCACTTCTACTTCTGCTGCACGAGATGAGAACACATTTGTCATGAAAAAGTCTGCGTTTGTGATATATTTCCTTCTTTCTTTACTGCAAGACGTTTGCTCGGTCTAGATGTGCTTAAATCTGCACTAACGATGCATTCCTGTCACGTATCACACATGCGCACTTCAATAAGCTGACAGAGCTTTTTGAGCTTTTATGAGCTTACTCCGATAAAAGAAAACGGGTTACCGCGTTTACATGGCCAAGTGCGTTTTCGGCTTATTATGCATAATCGGCTTAAGAACGTGCATGTAATGCTCATTATTATTTTCAGGCCACGTGTAAAATCATATGAATCATTATAAATATTATTAAAATGAATACGTATGGATGACAGTTGATTACAATAATAGTTCCGTTTATTCCCCTCATTTAGTTTCCCCTGTGGGATAAATAAAATTAATATTAGTCTTATATGAATAATGCTTCGTTAACATTGATATTTATTATCCCTGTTTTATTCATGTCAAAAACCAACAAGATTTTTTTTCACCATGTTTCCAAGTTCTCTACCTCAGGTCCAAAAGAAATAAAGAATGTACAAAGTGAAAACGCTAAATATTTTTTAATTAGTTATTTTCAAAAGGGAAATACTGTCATGGATGTTTACAGAGCAGAGGTGTCCCTTTTTTTTATTCCAATAGGAGAGATGGACTTTTGTTTGTCTTTATTATTATTATTTTGTGCTGTGGGCCTATTATTGGTTACTGTGTTGTTTCTGTTTCAAAAGGCAGCAATAAATAACACTTTAAAATCTAAAGAGTGTTCATGTGATTTTATACACTAGTAATGTTGTGAAATGAATAAATGCATAATAACCGTAGTAATCGTTAAACCGTGATTATTCCTCAGACAATAATCGTACCAACAAAATCTATAATCGTTGCATCCCTACTTTCTAGCAGGCTAATTTGAGAACGGCATAGTAACGTGCACCCTTACTGCAGAGCAATGGGCGCTTGCTAAGAAATATCAGTTTCTGGTCAGTGCTGTAACTGCAAGCAGACTGTAGAAAATATCGTAAAGAGTACAAAATGTCTGATTAGTACAGTATATATAGAAGAATCAGCACATTTTGGCATAAGTATATATATATTCCTCAAGCCACTTGAGGAAATATTGAAGAAAACAGTATAATAAACCACATTAAATGATATTAAGCTGATGATCTTACATGTTCTCCTCTCCGATAATACAAACAGCTGACAGAATCTTGACAATCTCAGTCATCATATTAGTCTGCTTAGGATCGATCGCCCTTGCGAGGAGGAGGAGGCTTCGTTCGTCCCCCAAGATTCGTTGGAGGCCATACTGGAAACAAAGAGACATCTCGTTTTACTACAACTTGTAAAAATGTAAACATTTTGCAATGGATAATTTCTTTAAACTTTAAACAAACACAATGAACCCCTTGTGTATGAACAAATGTAGGCTTTCTTCTCCTTAAAGAGCCAATTAGGCAGGTGTAGACATGTTTTAGGATAAAATAATTTAAATGAGGACAGGGCAGCAGGGACAAATAATCATATTCCTGCATCTTTGTCTTCCTCACAGAGCGTAATGCACTGCACTTGACCACAATTTGAGCAAAAAGCAGAATAAATTCACTTGGGGAAGAATAAATTAAATAAATAAAAATATTACAGCAAAGTGTTCGGAATAAAATAGCATTCATATTTAACATGGCTGAGGTATAAACTGAATAATGTCATTACCATTTAGGCATAAAAGCAGCTGTAGAAAATATTAAACCTGATGATTATCTAGAGTTGAACAAGCTTCATTTGTGTTTGCTCCCGTTTAATAAAGAAGCAGTATTTCAATCAGAAATGTATTCATTCTCAAGGACAATTTTTGCAAAATGATATAAACTACTCATGGTGGAACTTTTAAATTCTAAACACACCTTATTGTTCATGAAGGCCTTGAGGCACTGAATGAGTTTATGCTGGTTCTTCTTGTCAATGTTCTCTTGCCTGAGGGAAAGAAAATCAGTGAGTACAGAGAAAGATAAGAGTTTGTGATTGAGCAATCCAAAAGCACTGAAGAAAGGGAATTTCTTAAGATGACGACGTCAGAAAGTCCAGCATAACTTACTGTTTCTTGTCAAGAAGCCTCTCCAGCACATCCAAAAGCAGCCCGAGACCATCATGGCCAAAGTTATTCACCCAGCTAAAAACAGGAAGAGACAGGCAAAGAACTGCATTAGAATACATAAACCCACCAACAATTACACTGCGAACAAGTTCATTACAGGTTAGAAAAGTTTGGTTTTGAAGATGAGCTGGGTTACACCACTCCATTGTTTTTCAACTCTCTCAAAACAGTGAGATTTTTCTCAGCTTTTTTCCCCCACATCTATATTACTGACAAACAGCACAGGTCATTGTGGCACCTGCAGCATCATATACAAAATGAGTCATTCTCGGTCTCTCAGAAAATGTCACATGTGACAAGAACATGAAACAATTGCATTATTCCGTTCCCCACATTTCTGTTGGTGGCTTAATGTGAAGAAATTTCCACATATGTATGACCAGATGGAATTCTGGAGGAAAGAATAAAATATTTATGCATCAGAAGAGATATTTAGCTGGATTATTTCACTGAATTAAAAGTCATTAAAACAGTTTTCTTTGGAAGACAATTTGTATGTCTTTGTACTAAAACACTCACAGTTAAAAGTCAACACTTACATTTGCCACTTTTTAAAGATTCTGAGCCCTGGATTTATGTGATTAACACACTTCCGCAAACAGATTCACCTAAGAATGCCGCATTGAAAATGAAGTGAAGGCAAATGCAAATGAAATAACTCTTTGTGTGCGGTGCCTTAAGGCAACTTTTGCAGGCCATGCACTCAAACAGGAAGATAAAGCAATGCATGGGAGATAACAGTAAAACTGATAATGGATTGTGTTAGATAATTGGCTATAAAACACAATGTATCTGGAGACATTAAATGATCTGGGGGGATAAGAATAGGGAGAGAGAAAGAAAGAGTGAGAGAGCTAAGCAGCATGTGATCGCATTTAGAGTATGTCATTAACATCACTTGTTCTTAGCTCCAGATTGTCAATAAACCTAAATACATGGGGCAATTTGTTGCAATAAAGGACCATAAGTCAATGAGTTATTCCTTTCTTTTTGATAATCATAGTGCACAATGCAACATGCATATTAAAGTCATTTGTATAAACCAATATGGTCACACAGGACCCTCAATTAGGGGTGATGCCTGCAGCCTAGGGTAGTTTAAGGCGGCTAAAATGCACTTTTTTACAGATCTGCAATTAAATTAGTCTAAAATTACAAAGACTGAGGCTCACCATGCCATTACTCAAAATTCATTAACGACCCACCAAACTCAATTTGAAACTTATTACCATTTGCTGTACAGTACATTATAATGGCCTGATTTGTTAATAAAACATAGCAGTATAATGTGCAAAACTTGTACCCATCTGTTTACAGGGGGCTTGTCGTTTATTGTTTCCAATTTTGTCTCATCGCTTTCCAACTGTCTCTTATAAGAAAAAGCACAGTTTGAGGTCTTTGATGAAAAATAAGAGCTTTGTGCGCAACCTTACCTAGCCTTGAAATATAAAAGCAGTGCTGCTGCTGTGGAGGTGGCCAGTAGAAATGAGGGATTTAAGAACAACGTGGTTGAGTGCATCTAATTCACTTAAAACAACAGTGTGGGTTATGGATTCAATCTGCAGCAGATGAGTGTTGAAAACATCTGAGGTAGTGTGGTAAGACCCAGTGAAACCTTAGCCAGCATTGACACTGTACATCTGTGGTCATGTCACTTAACAAGAGCAACAAAACTCTAACCACACTCAACCTAAATTTCCAAGCAAACAAGATTTTATAGTTATGCATTGCAGTAGACAATACTGAATGTAACTGTTCAGGCAATTTGTAAGACAACCTGAAAAGGAAAATTCACTAAGCAAAAAAATGTAATAAAAATTTAATAAAAATTATATATACAGTGGGTACGGAAAGTATTCAGACCCCCTTAAATTTTTCACTCTTTGTTATATTGCAGCCATTTGCTAAAATCATTTAGGTTAATTTTTTTTCCTCATTAATGTACACACAGCACCCCATATTGACAGAAAAACACAGAATTGTTGACATTTTTGCAGATTTATTAAAAAAGAAAAACTGAAATATCACATGGTCCTAAGTATTCAGACCCTTTGCTGTGACACTCATATATTTAACTCAGGTGCTGTCCATTTCTTCTGATCATCCTTGAGATGGTTCTACACCTTCATTTGAGTCCAGCTGTGTTTGATTATACTGATTGGACTTGATTAGGAAAGCCACACACCTGTCTATATAAGACCTTACAGCTCACAGAGCATGTCAGAGCAAATGAGAATCATGAGGTCAAAGGAACTGCCTGAAGAGCTCAGAGACAGAACTGTGGCAAGGCACAGATCTGGCCAAATATAAGGGGGTCTGAATACTTTCTGTACCCACTGTGTATATATATATATATATATATATATATATATATATATAAATAATGGGCTTTTTAAATAACAGTTTTAAATTTATGAGTAATATAGGATAGGCGTTTAACACAAATATTAATGCACAAATAATACAATTCTTGTCAATAGTAATTTTTATATTATGGTCGATATTACAATTCTACACTACTGTCAAAATAAATAAATAAATACAATCTTTGTAATTGATAAAAGCGCATTCAGGCATCAAAACATTATAATGTGTAGAGATTAGAGATTATAATGGTAGAGATTTTGTACTATAGTCTGTAACACGGTTACACACCCACGTGACGTTGCTGTGCTACGTGGTCATGAAAACGTATCATTTGCATGAGTTTTTAAGCATTGCAGTTTAAAAACAAGTGATTTTAAGCAATTGAAATGCATTCAGCAGTGAAAGAGTACTCATTTCGCTATAAGCACTTGCTGTCTGAGAGACTGCTTCTGAGCGCTGTCAAAGAGGGGCACGCACGTGAACACGGTGCTCATAGAGCACGGGAGTATTCAATGCAGTTATTTTTACCGTTTTATAGGCCTTGAATGGTTAAATGAACACATGATAAATGATTATATTGTCTGCTCGGTGGACGGACAGATCAAATAATTGTAATATTGATTCTGCTACAGTTAATTCGAAGATATAATCTAAATATTTATTATGAATCATAACCAGTTATAATTCGTCATAAATATTCCCCTTTTTAGAGCTAATAAATAATAATAAACGTTACACACTTGTATGTGGCAAAATGCCGTCTTTGCAAGTATCCTCGTAAACACAGTAATATAAGTCTTAAGTGAAAGCACATGTCTAAAGAGAAAGAAAACACATATGCAACAGTATATTGGATCCGGGCAGCTCTTAAAGTGACAGCAGTCTAATATCCCTGCTGTCTGTCATTCATGTTAATAAAACAACAAAAGAGAGAAAATCTATCACTGCTCTTGACTAAATCACTTTTGTAAAATGCATAAGACGTTTTACACAGTGAAGAATATGCAGTGTGTTTATACATTTGATTACTTTATACAATGTAGCATTTCTCATTTATTTATTTTCCTGTAGTTTTTCTGTCCTATTGCTTGTAATTAGTTTCTTATTCTTATTTAATCACTGTTTACTTGTCTTCAGTGAGCTTGAGTTTGTTTAGACTAGTATTAGTTTTTTTTGTGATATTGACACTAATACCAATAATTACGTAATTTCTATGATATCAAAAAAATTGATATAATAAAGACCTTACTTAAAGTAAAAATAACTATATTGTGATATATATTATTACTGTTAAATGAAATTAGTCATATTGTGATGTAAGATTTTGGTCATATCACACACCCCTATTTTTTATATATATATAAGTTGTGTTGTATTTTTTAAAAGCATGTTTCAAAATTTATGTTTGAATTATGATTTTGTGTAATTTATATTGCAGAACTAATCATGAAAGTATCTTCAAGCAATGTTAAGCAAATTTAATTCATAAATCCAAAAAATGTATTCTAAAAACTTTAGAAATTCCTGAGAGAATCATGGCTCGAAAACGTTCATTTTCTTCCAGGTTTTAGGACTACAAATTGAACAGCTCTATAAACTTGTAATGCAGATCGTTCAAATTCAAATTAAGAAATCAGATTAAGCTATGCTCATACCACTAACAAGCATGAAAATGAAAGGAAATCGCTCTTTCAAAAGATAACTATGCCAGTAAAAGATGATTGAATTTAAGACACCCGCATGGAGTGCTATCAGATGTTTTCTCTCAGCAGTTAGAGGCATCATGCATCAGTTTAACACGTTCAAGATTCATTAAGCATCTTCACTTGTCTTTCTGTCTGCCTGCAAGTCAATCTTAGATTACCTGTAAACCCCTGAGTAAACAATGCATCATTTCCTGTCAAATCAGCTCATCAGTGACCTACCCACACTCTGCGGCGTGGATCCAACGATTTGATTTAGACTTATTCATGAAATATTGATTGGTATAATCCTGGAGTTAAGCGGCAACAAAGCCAGCAGAGTTACTTGACATGAGTAAATATATTTTCTGGGTTAAATGAAACATGCATGGCCTGTTAAAGTATACATATTTATAACAATAATTGTTCCATACACATACTGCTAAACTATCAATAAACTGAACACTCTTAACCTTTCAGAGCATAACTCTTAAATAAATACATAAACACTGTTGTCTCTGTGATGGTGAAATATTTGTGTTTACTGTAGCAATGACAAAATATTATTGCCAATTAAATTAAATGAAAAAAAAACTGCAACAGTTGTGACAATACAAGTTGTAGTGCAATCGTACAGTAATTAGGTTTGACATTCAATTTGCAATCACAGAGACATTATACTGCTTATCATGAACATCACATAATAAATTGCAACTGCATGTGAAAAATCATTAATGATCATCAGCAGGGGTGTATTGTATAACACCACTTGACGCTATAAAAGTCAGTTAACTGCCTTACGATAACCACAGGTTATTCCTCTGACCACGTGCCTTTATTTTCAGAACCCTCTAATGTCAACCAAAAGCCTGGCTGACATTGTTATTGCACTTGAAGAAGCTCTAGAGTGGTGTGTCATTGAGAACACTCTATGAGAGCAATGCCTTTCAAATTGTATTAGAGCTA